CTCAGGTCCCAGTGAATGGAAGAGACTTGATCTGTGTAAGCTCAGCTCTGCATGGCAGCCTCAGTTTAGTGAAAACAAAAGGGTTATGGGTTTATGGGTGGGGATAGGAGGCCAGAGACAGGGTTCAGAGTTATTCCCCCACACAGCGTGCCTGCCCCATGCACCACACCGCCCCCTGCAGGCTGGGCATCAAGCGTGGGCACCAAATCCACAGGGGAAAAAAATCCCACTGGGAGTCCACGAGCTGTCCGAAACACAGGACAGATTCTTCTCAAGGATTTGTAAATCCGTTTTGAGGATCAAGTGCCTCCCTTCTGCTGAGAGTTGACACCCCCCTTCAAAGCACAGTGGATGCACTGGGCATCCACTGGGAACTCAGATATGAACCTGTCAGGAATCTCACCTTCCAGTGAGCCAAACATGGGAAGTCGAGGGACTCAGCCAGAAGAGATGAGTGTTGCTATGGAGAAACCAGGACAGGGCAGCCTGGAGCGGGTGTCCAGAGACAGCTGACAACTCACACACGTGCCTGTGTGTGGAGTGAATTGTGCACTTTGCTTTGACTCTGAGCGGCTGATGCCTGAGACGAGGGAGAGCTCTGGGGTCTTGTGGCCAGGGCTGCATGTCCTGATCAAAGCGGGGCTGCTGTGCCCAAATGTACCCCTGTATTTATAGCACTGCTGGGTTTGGGGTTCTCTGCTCTTTGGCATTGTGGGTTATAATGCTGCTTGATGGTAGGGTTTCTTGCATAAACCATTCCAGAGTCACACTTTCCACGAAAGCGTCTGCTTCCCGCCACCATTGTCCCCTTTCTCTCCCCCTCCCCCATTTCACTCCCACCCCATATTAGTCTTCTTGCTGGAGACCAGTTCTCCATTTCTGTAGCTTTGGGTCATTTATTATTCCTATGTTAAAATATGTTTCTTTATATCCCACATATGAGGAGGATCATTGTGTGTATGTCCACCTCCCTCTGACTAACTTCACTGAGCAGAATCTCTCCAAATCCGTCCTTGTAGCAGCAAATTGTATTACGTCCTCTTTTTCCTATACCTGAGTAGTATTCGTGTGTGTGTGTGTGTGTGTGTGTGTGTGTGTGTGTGTGTGTACCATACTTTCTTTATCCAGTCATATATTCTTTGGACACTGCGGTTGTTTCCAGATTTGGGCCATGTGAACAGTGCTGCAATGAACATAGAAGTGCATGAGTATTCTGAGTAGAGTTACGGGGCCCTTTTGTAGACGCCAAGAAGTGGAATTGCTGGGTCTGGAACAGTTGGATATATTACCTTTTTCAGTCTGTCCTTCCAAGAAAATGTGGCCTACATCAGACAAGACAACAGGTGGACGTCATTCAAAGACATGTCTCCATGAGTCAAAGTTTTGGCCTCCAAATTGTTTTTTAATTAAAAAGAAGAAAACGCATGATTTTCTCAGGCTGAAACTTGATGGCAACGAGACCATAATTTAAACAGTGGAGCCAGTATCTCTTGGGCAGTAACTATGGTCATTTTATTTGTTTCATTTTTTTAAGTTCCGACTGGTTATCAAACTGCAGCTCATATTAAAGTCTGGAGCAAACAATAAATGACCTCCTTTTTCCACCGATGTTCTCAGCCAGTCTAATGGAGAGGGGAGAGTCTTAAAATGCAAAAAAGATGCTGTAAAAATGCGGGAGGAGATTTGTTTTCAGATCAGCAGAGTCTCCAGGGGTCTGTTAGTCACATTGTGGGGAAGCCATCCTGATCTTGATTCAAATAGTGCAGTAAAATTTTGAAATGCTGGAGGAAATTTCAATTTTAATGGCACTTGAAGTCATTACAAAATTACTGTGATAATGGTGCTGTAAATGTACTTTTATATCCTCTGTTAGAGATGCATATTGAAAAATGCTAACAGATAAAATAATGTCCATGTTGAAAATATGGGTGGAGGGAGCAATGATGAGAAGTATGGATCAAACCCAATTGACTATAAGTTTATAGCTAAACTCAGTGATGGGCTCCTGTAATATTTTTCTTCTAGGATTTCACAGATCTAATATTTTCCATGTAAGATATGGGGATTGAAGGGGGCAGACATCAAAACACGTCAGACAAGCACGCAACCGTTGAACCACATCTGGGGCTCAGAATTTCTTAAAAGTAAGCCTAATTGTGGCTGGAGTGATAGCACAGCGGGTAGAGCATTTGTCTTGCATGTGGCCGACCCAGGTTCGATTCCCAGCATCCCATATGGTGCCCCCAGCACTGCCAGGGGTAATTCCTGAGTGCAGAGCCAGGATTAACCCCTGAGCATTGCTGGGTGTCACCCAAAAACAAAAAAAGAAGTCAACTTATCTCCTTCTTTCATGACAAAGAGAAATGTGGAGGCGAGGGCTTGTGTGTGTGTGTTTCACAGGTGTCCATTGATCACCCCACTTTTAATAAAAGAATTGCCCCCCAACCCTGGTGAGCCTAGAACAGCCACAGGTCTTGTGGGGAGCTGCTGAGTCTGGCCTCCTAGGTGGGCTTTACCCGCCTTAGGTCAGTTTGCCATCGTGCAGGTGTAGTCTGCCTCAGAGAGGAGGAGCCAGTAGGGCCGTCCAGCCCTCTCTCATGCTCCCTTGGGGAGGATATATTTGACAATATCACATGCCTCTTAATACTCTGGTAAGTCTGATCATGCTCATGACCTGGCCTGATTCTGTGGCTTCTCTTGTTCGTGGTGAGCTATTACCCTTGTGTCTCATTTTTGTTTTGTTTTTTGTTTGGGGCCACTTATGACTCATTGCATAAATACTTTAAGGAAAGTGGGATGTGGGGGTCATGAAAGTCCTCTCTGCATTCAAGTAGTATTTGTGAATAAGCAGAATATTTCCATCAGACGGTGTCCATACAATAAAGGATTTAACCAGTAGAGATAAAAGGGCTAAAAACCAGCGTATTAGAGAAATGTCTGCCGGCCAGAGAGACTTAATGAAGAGGAGGCTAGAGCCAGATGAGAGCTCACCAAACTAGAGCACAGACTTTGCCTGTAGGGGGCCTGGATTTATCCCCAGCACTATATAGGGGCCCCTGAACATCAGCAGGAGCCAACCCAGAATAGCGAACCAGGACTGGCCCCTGAGCATGACTGTCTATGACCCCAAAATCAAAGAAAAAATGTGTCCAGAGAAGGGATTAAAAAAACTTAATAGGGGGTTAGCATCACCCATGAGGGGACCTGCAGAAGAACCCAGGTATGCGGGACCCATGACAAATCTCCAAGCTCACTCAGAGCAGAACTGGGCCTCCTCCCCCCAGCTCCCAAGTTTTCCAGGAGCTTAGCAGTCACACCCACAAAATGACCCCAGCACCATATAATCTCATCCATGGCCAAGATCCAGAGACTCTGAAATAAAGCTCCTGGAAGAGAGTGATGTAGCCCTTACCCATGAGTGAATCTGCTCTGTAATTGTATTCTAAATTTCAGAATTCCTGGAGCATGCAGCCACGACCTCTCACACTCTAGCGCATTGATGTACCAAAAGAGGCACACGTTTGTTTGGATTTAACATACATGCTTATAATCACTCGTTCAAGGGCTTAACGGCCCCAGGATGAAATGCACCAGTCTTCACACACTTTCCTCTTATGGTGGTGTAAAGGTGCACGGTGGTGGGATTGGTGTTTTCATATCAAATGTAATGAATTATTGTGAACAACTTTATAAAAATTAAATTAAATTTAAAATTAAAAGGGGGGCCAGCAGAGCTGTGGAATCTTTTGTCAACTTCTTGCAACAAAAAGAAATGATCCAGGGGTTGGAGAGATAGCACAGTAGGTATGGTGCTGGTCTTGCACGTGGCCAACCTGGGTTCGATCCCCAGAATCCCATATGAACCCCTAAATCCTGAGCCAGAAGTAAGTCCTGAGCATCACTAGTTATAGTCTAACAACTTTTCAAGACCAAAAAATACACAGGGATTGGGAAGAAAGAGAGTTAATGAAGCAGGGCAGAACCTAGCAAGGCTGGTTCTAGGGCGCAGTTGTTGAGCTAAGACTCACCACAGCTGTTCACATCTACATCTCTGAGTGGGGAGAAGGTCTGAGAAGGAGCTGCCTGCAAATAAAGTGAGGTCCTGATTTGCTTAGAAGTTGATGGACATGGAGAGAATCATGCTGAATGAAATGAGACAGGAAGAGAGGGACAGACATAGAATGACTACACTCATTTGTAGAATTTAAAACAACAGTATGAGATTAATACCCAAGGACAGTAGAGACAGGGGCCAGGAGGATTGGTCCATGGTTGGAAGCCCGCCTCATGTGCTGGGGGAGAAGGCATTTGGGATAGAGAAGAGACCACTAAATAAATGACGGTTGGAGGGATCGCACAAGATGGGAGATGTGTACTGAAGGTAGACAAAGGACCAAACATGATGGCCTCTCAGTATCTGTATTGCAAACCATGATGCCCCAAAGTAGAGAAAGAAGCACAGTGTCTGCCACAGGGACAGGGGGAGGGTTGGGGTGGGGGTGGCAGGAGGGATACTGGGGACATTGGTGATGGAAAATGTACATGGGTGGCGGGATGGCCGTTGGACCATTGTATAACTGAAACTCAATCATGAAAGCTTTGTAACTGTATCTCATGTTGACTCAATTTTACAAAATTAATAATAAAAAGTGAGGTCCCAAAGAGAAGGCTGAAGAAGTGTCCGAAGTAGTGGACTTGGGTGTGAGGGTCCAGAACACTTACAGAGCAGTGCTGGTCCTGCTCACTTTGCTGGTGCCCGTGATGCACCCTCGGGTGGCAGGTTGCCACCCCGCTCTCTCCTTCCCTGGGGGAGCACTGCTATCTCCAGGGAAGCACCTCTCAGAGCAGCCTGTGTGTGAGTTTGAAGTGGAAAACTGTCGCGGGTGTCGCCTGCTTCCACTGCACTGCAGAAGGTGGGCAGAGTGAAGTGCCCACAGCGTGGCTGGCAGCTTCCCCAGAGATGGGACAGCCACTGCCATGTCTGTCCTCTTCCCCTCCAGGTGTATGAAACTGTCGGACACGGGGGCACCACCTTGCTGGCCGAAGTGTTCCTGCCCATCCCCGAGACCACCGTGGTCACTGGCAGAGCCGCTATTGAGGAAGTGGAGTTCAGCAGTGACCTGCAGGTGGCGCTGGACCACGAGGGTGTTGGCAGTGGTAGGGAAAGCTCCTGGGGTCAACTTAACATTTTGGGTTAACCTCTCAGTCAGCCTGGGAATGGTCTCCATCTGCTTTATGTCTCTTAATAAGCCTGATCATGTCATTACCCGGTCTGGGTCTGTGACTTCTCTCGTTCGTGTCATTTATCTTTGGGTATCATTTTTTTTGCTTTGTCTTTGGGGGCAATACCTGGCCATGCTCAGGGCTTACTCCTGGATCTGCACTCAGGGATTACTCCTGGCGGTGCTCGGGGGAATAATGGGGTGCTAGGATCAAACCCAGGTCTGCTGCATGCAAGGCAAATGCCCTACCCACTGTCCTCTCTCTCCGTCCCATTTGTTTTTTCAAATGAGTATACTGAGTGCATACCTGGAGATTTACCTAGAATTCTTTTTTATTTCTCTATCATTCATTTACAGCATTCTAGAATATCAGAGGGTTATACACCTCTGTCTATAAGACTCATCTTTCCACCACAACAGTTCCAGCACCATCCCACCACCAAAAGACCCTTCAACCCATTTCTCCCACCCACTCACCCCTTTCCCTCCAACAATGGCGCTAGTTTGGGGGAAGCCCAGGAATTGGTCTAGTCTAATTGGCCAGTTCTTTTATCAGCAAGACTTCTCGAGGCTCATGTCTACTCTCTCATGTGAAAGGATATTGTTCTGATAATGGATATGCTCTGAGACCCTTCTAGTGGCATAGCCTCTTGGAATGGCATCTTCCTCATTTGTAAGTGGATTGTAAATGCCTGATGGGAATTCCATTTGATTGGAAATTTGATTAGAAATCAAATGAGAGAATCAACTTGGAAGGAAGTTCTTTGAAACGCCCCCTTGTCTGAGTCACGTGACAGAGTTGCCTTGGCTTACTCTGTCAACTGCCACTGCAGAGAGCGAAGCTGTGAATGCAGTGCTTTCCAGCGGTCCTCCCTTCATAGACCACCTCAAGACTGTCTGTCAGTTGATTTCGATTCTTCAGGGGCCAAATCAGTACAGCCTCACTCTAGCCACAGTGGTTCCGCAAGAGCTCTCCGAAGTCTCCCTCCCCTGGGCTCTCCCTCTATGCATTGCTGGTTTTAGTGCTTTTGATCAAATGCTTCTCACTCCGGCTCACTCCCACCTAAGGGTCCCTGCCCTTGTGCCTGGTGCTGAGATTTCTCTGTGTCTCTTCCTCACCTTCGTCACAACTGCCATCTCGACTTCCCACCCTAAGTTATATTTCTCCTCTGCACGCCTCCTTCTGTGCTACACTGCACAATTATCTTACTGGAAGCTCGTCTCCCCAACTTGAACATAAACCCCAGGGGGAGAAGAAGAGTTCTTAGCCCTTTTTCTTTCTTTACGGCTACCTTTCAGTGCCTAGAAGGTAAATCCTTCTTTCTCCTTGCTATGTCAGACATGGAGACAGAAAAGGCAAAGTGTCTTGGGTCACCCAGTTGGGGAGTGACAGAGCCAGCATGTGTTCCCCAGAGGCCTCACTCTCAAGAACCTCCTTCAGACTTTCTCAGCCTCTTCTGAAAGAGCCCCCAAGTGATACTTTGAAAAGATTTCTGCACGCCTCTGTAGTAGTGCTATTCTGGAAACAACCTGAGTGCCCAAATAGAATAAGTGGATAAAGAAATAGTGACATAGACATGCAGTGAGAAACAGCTGAGCCCTAAGAAACAGGAAATCCTGCAGTTAGCTGCTGTGCAGGTGGAAATAGAGGGAATCGGGATGAGTCAAGTCTGTCAGAGGGAGAGGGACAGGTACTGAATGATCTCATATGTGGCGTGTAAAGAGACAAGAAGTGGGGCCTGGAAGGATAGCACAGCGGGTAGGGCGTTTGCCTTGCATGCGGCCGACCTGGATTCGATCCGCAGCATCTCATGTGGTCCCCTGAGCACCGCTAGGAGTGATTCCTGAGTGCAGAGACAGGAGTAACCCCTGAGCATCACTGAGTGTGACCCAAAAAGAAAAGAGAGAGAGAGAGAGAGAGAGAGAGAGAGAGAGAGGAAGGGAAGGAGAATCAGCTAATGGTAGCAGCTCCTGAGAGTCTGGCCCATAGAACTGAGTCTGCTGAGGGGACAGAACGGGGTACAGATGGGAAAAGAACTGGAGATGTGGGCGTGGGACAGCGGGGTTGGATGGAAGAGAAACAGGACAGTGGGGGACAGAGCAGGGTAGGGATGGGAGAGGAACCAGAGAAGGCTGGAGAGGAATGAGGTACTGGGGGGGGGGGGGGGGGCTGGAGGGTGTAGGAATATCGTTTGCCTTTAACTACTGTTAACATTACATATCATGGAGCAGAAACAGAAACCAGGGCAGGAAAAATGGATAAAACTAAGATTCAAATACTGGAATGTCAGGCTCACCCACACTGTGCTCTCTGAGGAGTCCGGGCACATGCTGAGGAGCAGGTCATTGAGCTGCCCACCTGGCCCACTGCCTGCCTGCCTGAGGGTCTTGACGCTTCTTTCCAAGCCTCTTCTTCTTTCCCGTCAACCTGTTGTTTCCCTAGGGGTGCCCTTCTCCTTCGAAGCTGACGGCAGCAACCCACTGATCCTCATGACCTCCGGGAAAGTGGCCAGCAGCGTGGCATGGGCTGTCGGAGAAAACGGGATCCCCCTCATCCCGCCCCTGTCACAGCAGAATGCCGGATTCAGGAGGTAACAGGGGGCAGAGACTTGGGGAGCACTGTCTCCCGCGTGTCCCCACATCTGGGTACCAGGGCTTCTTAACTTCTGGAGCAGTATTTTCATGGATTATTATGCTTTTTTACATGGAGAGAGGGAGCTTTCGTGGTCACACCTGGTGATGCTCAGGGTTTCCTCCTGTCTCTGCACTCAGGAATCACTCCTGGTGTTGCTCAGGGGACCATCTGGGATGCCAGGGATCGGATCCAGGTTGGCCATGTGCAAGGCAAATGCCCTCCCCACTGAGCTATCACTCCAGCCCCGCCCCCCCCCAATAGCATATTATTCACTATTGTAATGCTGAACATTGTTTGGGAACTTATTTTCTGTCTGGAAGCATAAAACTGTGTAACTATGCACATGTCACATCTTTATCCACCATCCAACCATGGGCACTTAGCATGTGTCCACGCGCTGGCTATTGTAAACAGTAAACATCGTGTGGAGATATCTCTGGGTTAGTGACTTTATTTCTCAGGATATCTACCCAGAGGTGGGGGTGCTGGATCTTCCAGTAGCTCTACTTCAACTCTCCAAGGAAGCTCCATCCTGCTTTCTATTGTGATTGCATCAATTTGCATTCCAGAGTTTCCTTCTCTCTACCTCCTAGCCAACACTTGTTCTTTCTTGGCTCTGAGCCATTCTAACATGTGAAAGTCAATTTCTCATTGAGGTTTTGATTTGTTTTCCCTTTTGATGAACAATTTTGCTCCCATTTTCATGTACCTATTAGCCATTGGGACGGCTACCTAGAAAAATGTATCCTTCATTCCTTCGCCCATTTCTCATTAGCTTTGTCTTTGCTTGCTGTGGAGTGGAGATGTCCCTTGTATGCTTCGGATAGTCACCCTTTCTCAGGGATGGCTTCGAAATATTTTTTCCCTACCATTTGTACTTCTTGGTTGTCCTTGTAGCTTCAAAGCTGTAACGTAAAATAGCAGGAGAGGCAGAGAAGGTACCACAGTGGGAAGCGGCTTGCCGTGCATGTCATGTTGATGCCAGCGCCATCCCCAGCAACTGCACCCTCCAGGAGTGACGCCTGAGCACAGAGCCAGGAAGACACTATGGGTACTCTCAAAACCAAAGATAAAAGAAAAGTAGAAATAGAAAAAGCAGAGAGGAAGAGCAGGAGCCTGTCCTGAGGCTAAGGGCATGTTTCCCCCTGAAGAAGTGCAGCCTCCAGCACCAGCCCTTGGGGGTGGGGGGAGTGTCTGTGGTCCAGACGCCCAGCTCCGTGGTCCTCCATCTCACGGGGCCAACTTCTATTTCAGCGTGTTGAAGAGAGCAGATGCCATCTCCTCCATTGGGACATCGGGATTGACGGACATGAAGAAGTTGGCCAAGTGGGCAGCAGAGTCCAAGCTTGACCCGAATGACCCCAACAACGCCCCTTTGATGCAACTGATCTCGGTAAGGTGTCAGGGGACGTGTGCTTGCCCTGTCCAGGGCAGGACCTGGCACACAGGGCTCTTACCCACGCCGTTGTGCTGTCACTCACCTCTCAGCCCCTCCTGGACACACTCAGTGCTCCTCTGCGCAGGGTGGGAAGACACAGTTCCTGAGTGGGTGGATGCTGGACTCTCTGGGCGGGCAAATGCTGCCTTCTCTGGGTGGGCTGGATGGATGCTGCCCTCTCTGGGTGAGCGGATGCTGCCTTGTGTACCAGGACTTGTAGAATCTATGGTTAGCTCTCCTGTGCCCCTGAGATCCGAAGGCAGGAGAACTCCCCTTGCTGCGGACCAAGTGAGGCCGCTGGCTGATCCCAGCCCCTCTCTGCTTATGTACACGGAACTTCCAAAGAGAGTTTCAGGAACATTTGTTGAGCTGGAGATGTAGCCCGGGGTCATGGGTGTGTTTGGTGTGTCTGAGGACCCAGGTTTGATCCCTGACACCTGAGGGCCCCCTGAACACTGCCAGCCCTAGTGGCCTCCAATGCCCCCTGAACAGCCACATCACCAGGCCCGAGCACCGAATCCCAAATCCTGGCTCCAACCGATCTCACTGGGAAATAGCCGCTTGGCCCTGGAATACAGCTTAGGGGACCCAAGCGAACAAACGTGTTCCCCAACTGTATTTTGGAAGTTGCCTGTTTTCACGTGTCTAAGCAGTTTACCCTCTGTGTATAGGCGTAAGCTGTTTCCAGGCGGCACCTAGTCAAGCACTGATGTCAATATCCCATTTTCACTGCAACCTGTGCACACTTATTAGGGAGCATTCCCACAAGGAGCCTTGTCATTTACAGTTATTTTTGCACATATGATTTGTGCTACTTTTATAGTTCCTGCATGAACAGAATGGTGTCTTCCTTGTGCCCATTTATTTGAATGCCTTGGGTAAGAGGTGGATTTTGGACTGGGCTGGCAGTACTCGGCCTACTCCTAGTTTGCCCCTCCAGGTGCTTGGGAGACATCCCTTGCCAAGGATGAAACCAAATCAAAACAGTTAAAGCAAGGCCAGAGCACTAGTACAGCGGGGAGGGCATCTGCCTTGCACGCAGCCGACCTGGGTTCTATCCCGTACGGTCCCCCCAAGCACTGCCAGGAGTAATTCCTAAGTGCAGAGCCAGGAGTAACCCCAGAGTATTGCTTTTTGGGTCTGACCTAAAAGGCCAAAACAAAATAAACAAACAAAAAAACAGTTAAGGCAAATGTCTTTACTACCTCCATGAGTCATTTCTTCAGACGAAATGCTGACTGTGTCAGGATTCAGTCTGAACCCACCACCCTCCCTTTCCCAGTGCTCGGAGCTGGGCTTCTCTGGACTGAACTATCTGCCAGTCAGCTAGACTTCTGCATTTTCTGGGGTTTTGTTTCTTTTTCTTTTTTGTAGGTTGCGAACAGTGGTGAATCCTATGTCCCTGATTTCTTCCGATTAGAACAGCTCCAGCAAGAATTTAACTTTGTTTCAGATGAGGAATTAAATAGATCCAAAAGATTCCGACTTCTCTGTCTCAGAAACGAAGAGGTGCCTGAATTTCGAAACTACAAGCCAGTTCCAATGTATGATCGAGAAATCATGGAGAAAGTGTTTCAGGTGAGAACTGGTTGGAGGGAACTCACTAGAAACGTGAGCCCAGCTGCCCAGCCCCTGGCTCTCCTGGGTGTGCTAGTTTTGCTGTGTCTTCACCAGCAATGTGGGTTTCCTTTTCTTGAATTCAATGTTTAACCCCTTGACTCAATAAAAAAGACATGGAAATAAAAAGAATTAGAATTGTAGGGTTGAAAAATGTCTTGAATTCTTCTTCTTCTTCTTTCTTCCTTCCTCTTCCTCTTCTTCATGTTCTTCTTCCTCTTCCTCCTCCTCCTCCTCCTCCTTCTTCTTCTTGAAAAATGTCTTGAATTCTTCTTCTTTCTTCCTTCCTCTTCTTCATGTTCCTTCTTCATGTTTCTTCTTCTTCTTCTCCTCCTCCTTCTCCTTCTCCTTCTCCTTCTTCTTCGCAGCCAACCCAGGTTTGATCCCTGGCACCCCCTATAGAAACCCGAGCAGTGCCAGGAGTGAACCCTGAGTGCAGATCCAGGAGAAGCCCTAAGCACTGCAAGGTGTGACTGCTAAAACACAAACAAAAACCCAATCTGAACTAAATTGGTCACCCGTAGACTTTATTTTCTTAATTTTATAAAGCTGTTCACAATAATTTATTACATTCCATAATCAAACACCAAACCCACCACCAATACACATTTCACCACCATTATTTTGAATTTTCCCAACCACCACCCAAGCTTGCTCCAATAGCAGGCCCTAATTAATTTATTTTGTATTGCTTTTTATAAATAATTTGCTAAAAATTATCCAAAAAAGATTTCCTTAGAAGAAAATGTGTGAAGATTGTTGTATCTCACTCTGGAGCTATTAAGCCATTGTATAAGGGATTACTAACATGTTCTTACAGGTTGAGCATTGTGTGCTAATATTTTTTAATCGAGATTGGTTGCCTTCCACTTTGCATCTTCTCCAATGTGTGCTACTCCTGGTACATCAGTGATAAAAAGTGTGAGAAATCACATGGCCACAAATGTGGCCATGCCCATAGGTGTTTGTTGGAGGAGGAGATCCCCACCCGGCTGCCCTCTAGTGCCTGCCAATGGGGTGTTGCTTCTGTGCCTCAAGACATCTAGCTCCAGAGTTCGAACCCCTGCTCTGTCTGTCTGTGCTCCCCTCGGCGTGTTGGCTGCATTCTCTCCTGCTGCGAGTAGAGTTTTCATCACACATACACATGTATGCACACACACACATGTACACACACACACACACTTCGCACCTCCAACCGCGACTTGACCTCTGGATCAAGGTCAGCGGCCATGGTGGGAATAGCTCTTGTCTTCCAACCTGGGCTAAGGGTCCCTCCGGACACATGCCCAGCACCACGGACTGAAGGAGAACATGGCCGGTCCCTGGGCACCATGTGGGATTTTATTAGTGGAAAAAGAGGGGGGTTTCACAGAGCAGCTAAGCAGACAGTGTCTAGAGCATCCCTTCCTCTCTTCGAAGCTGGCCAGCTGTCAGCTGCAGTTCGGGCTGCTGTTGCCACTCCCCAGACACAGAAAAGGATGTGAGCTACGTTGGCACAGGCTTGAACTAAAATGCTCGTGTGAACTCAGCCCCTCCCCAACCCCTGCGCGGCCCAGTCTCACCTCTGGCTCTGGGTCTCATCACGTGCACGTTTCCCATTGTCATCAGATGAGGCAGGGGGAATCCATGACTGAGTCCTGAATGCCACGTCCAAGGCCGATTGGAAACCCAAAGGGAAGTGGAAGGAAGGTTCGGGACCCTGATCTCTGGCTTGGACCAGGCGTGGGGAGGATAGCACACTGTCTCAGGGCGGCCGTGAGGGCATCTTTACGCTCAAGTCTCCCTCCCTTATTCCAGGACTATGAGAAACGGTTACGGGACAGGAATGTCATCGAAACCAAAGACCACATCGATGCCCACAGAGCCATAGTAGCCAAGTACCTGCAGCAGGTAAGAAAGCACCTGTGATACCTGATGGGCACAGAGCCGACCCAGCCTGCTCAGGAGAGTAGCTGGGGAGAGGGGAGAGGGGAAAACAGGGCGCATCTCCTGTAGGGATCGTATAGGTTACTGCATGGCACTCATCTCTTTGAATTTACTTTCTCATAGCTACAGAAATGAAATGTTAATAGCTTTCTGCGCTTTTGGAGCATCTGTTAAACATAGAGTGTACCTCAGTGTTCTGAGTTTATAAGAGATTTAGTTTCTGAGTCATGATTTTTCTCCTATTTGAATGTTTTTCATGTCGCCTTTGTAGGGAAAGAGGGTTTTTTGTTTGTTTTGGTTTTGTTTGTTTGTCTGTTTTCTTTTTGGGTCACCCGGAAATGCACAGGGGTTACTCCTGGCTCATGCACTCAGCACTCGGGAATTATTCCTGATGGTGTTCAGGGGACCATATGGGGTGCTGGGAATCAAACCCAGGTCAGCCATGTGCAAGGCAAATGCCCTACCCGCTGTGCTATCGCTCCAGCCCAGGGGGAAAAGGTTTAAGAGCCACATACTGATGATCTTATGCACTCCTTCCCTCCCTATTTCGCCTCCCATCCTTCCTTCCCTGCTCCCTTTCTTCCTTCTTCCTCTCTTTCTTGTTTCTGGCAGTGCGCAGGGACCACTCCAAGCTCCATTCAGGGTTCATTCCTGATGGTGCTCAGGGCAACATGTTATGTTGTGATGGGACCTGGGTCTCCTCCATGGAAGGCACGTTCTGTGCCCATAGAGCTGTCTCTCCAGCCCTTTCCTTCCTGTAATTTAGCTCTAAGACATACTACAAGGATTCCCCTGTAGTTTTCCCGTCCAGTCAATCTACCCTGTAGTCTGTCCACTTATAATGAACAAAGGCCAGGGGATCCAAGATAGCGTGGTGGGCAAGGTGCTTGCCTTGCATGTGGATCGACCTGGATTCAAACCCTGGTACCCCATAGCATCTCCGGGACTCGATCCATGGTGCCACATGGCGTCCCCACCAAGCCTGGTCCCTGAGCACTGCTTGGTGTGGCCCCCAAACCAGCAAACAAAAACATCATGGCATTTGAAGAGTAAGTCAGGAAGTGGTACAGTTTCCATTCGGGGAGGGAAGAAGACTAGGTTCTGAATCGTATGTGCGCTGAGCCTAGTCTTTTTTCGTAACCGTGAAGTTCTTGGAGCAGATGTTACTATCCCATGTATTAGGAACTTCCTGGGTCCCGAGGCTTCCACAGGGACCCAGGCAAAACCCTTCTGCCCTTGGGCAGCTGATAATAATGAAAAAGTGGGGGCTATAAGGAGAAGAAATCATGCTGCAGAGGGAAGTATAGCTGGCTGGGGGCACAGAGGGCTATACCAGGTCACCCTGGGGCTAAGACTTGAAGGAGTTCAGGGAGCGAACAGTGAAGTGCATCGAACTTTCAAAATACAACTTCTCTTTCCCCAGGTTAGAGAATCTGTGATAAACCGGTTCCTGATTGCAAAACACCATTTTCTTCTCACCGATTTAGTAGTAGAAGAAGAAGTCCCCAATATCAGGTATGAACCAGCAAACTTTTCCTTCTTATACAATGATCTTTATTGCATGATATTAAAGTTTTCATGTAAAACACCCTACTTTTTTTGTACCAGTGGTATGCATTTGGGCCCTTGATTCGAACTGGAAATCAGGGAGCCTCAGGGTGCCTGCTGATTAGATTATGGGGTTCTCCGACTCACTCCCACACCCCCACCTCCCCCCATCTTTGAGCAAGCAGGCCCGCCTTGGTCAGCTCCTTCCCATCCGCCAGACCGACCCCTTCCCTCCATACCAGCGTGCTCTCTCCTTCACGCTGAGTCCCGCTTCCCCTGCTGTCCTGTTCCAAGGCAGCAGACCAGGTGCTGAGAACAAGTCCCCTAGATTCTGGGAGACAGAGCCCCTGAGTGTTGGATGGGCAAGAGGACGTTTACACGAAGCCTGGAATGGTTACGTGGGCTCTGCGTCCTCATCATTTGGGGTCGTCGGACAGTCTCAGCTCCGGAACACTTGCAGGGTCCAGCGCTGGGTGTGTGTGTGGACTCGCCCCGGCCCTTCCTGGGGCCCAGTCTCTGCGCTCCAGATTGGGCCGTTTCCCCTCCGCCATCCACTGGGGCAGGAGACCGGAAAACCCCCTTTCTGTGACTGTAGCCACACGCGCGCGTGGGAAGGTCTCTGCCCCCCACCCCCAAATCTGCACCCACCACACTGCTCTAGTCCCAGCCCAGGGTCCTGCCATAAATGATTGTCGTTGTTTTTTTATTTCAGTCATGAAAATTTTGCATAGACTCGATGATGACTTTTCATGCTGTTTTCCCATTTCTTTCTTTCTTTTCCTTTTCTCCGCTTTACTTTCTGCATTAAGTTCTGAAGGCTCGGGGTATGTTCTTTCTTCTTTTCATTTTGATTTGTTCTTGGCTTTAAGATGCTTCTTACTGAATGTCTCCCCACCACAATGAACATGACCCATGCTGATAGCTAGGAAGGCAGCAAAGCCCACACCAGGGAGCCACGGGGGTCGGTTGACCCACAAAGGGAGGGAGCGCCATGTAGCCCCCCACCTCCAACCCAACAAGTCTGTCTTTCGGCCGCCACCAAGCTGGGCTGAGTGTGTGTCTTACAGAGAGAAGCCGGTGGGCTTCGTTGCCATGCACTGAGCACCCAGAATGAGGGCTCTGTGCCAAGCGAGGAAGAGAAACACTGTCAATATCCATTAAAAATGTAAGAGACTGGACATCTAAGAACAGACTAGAATGCCAGGGAGTGAGCCATTGGACCATCTCTTGGAGCCATCTCTCCCTGTGCAGTGGTATGCCCTGAGCACTGGCTCAGGGGGCTGAGCGCCAGCCCGGGTTACTTCTCCAGCACCACCCACTCCGCAGGCACTGCAAGGAGCATCCCCCAAACACACAGTGGCCGGCAGGGACCACTAGGTGTGACCAAAGAAAACAAAGCAGGGACTGGGGCACAAGCTTAACATGCAAGGTTAACTCCAGCACCCCATGGTCCCTGGAGTGCCTGAGCACTTTGGAAGGAGTCCTTGAGTGCCGCTGGGTGTGGCCCCCAAATAAACCAGACACAGAAACACACTGTCAGCCAGCAGAACACTGGGAAGGGCCTGACACAGACTTCAGGGGGAGGCGGGGGGGGGGGGGGTGGAGGGGCGGGGGAGTTTGCTTGAGTGCTCGGCGTCTGCTTGAGCTTCGTGCCCGGGCTCTTTCCCAATGGTGCTTTGAGGACCCTGCAGTGCCAAGGGGTGAACCAGGCCTCTGCATGCAAAGTGAGTTAGTTGAGCTGTCACACTGGCCCAGGGTTCAGGATAGCCCACGAGAGGCACCAGGCTCTGCGCCTGAGTCCCAGGGTGCAGCTAAAGGGGCGTTCTTCTCTGCCCTGGGATAAATAGGCCCACGCCTCCCCACGGCCCGCGCCCCTGCCAGGGAGATCTGGACACGGCAGCCGGCCCTGCGCGGCCCTTTTGCTCTGCCTCCAGATCCAAGCGCGCTCCTGGGTCTCTGGGCAGCGCATGGGCTGGACCTGGCTGACCCAAGGCCCTCTCTCCGGGTTTGCCTTTGTCTTCCAGGCGCGCTGCCTGCTCCTCTGTGCAAAGTGGAGGCTGAGAGTGCCCCCTGGTGGCTCCTCTGCCCAACACGCCCCCAGTCTCCCGTGTAGTTGGCACCAGCTTCACTGGCATCTTCTCAACCCCCAGAATGCCAAGGCAGAGCCAGGTTGCTGTGCACTCTGCCCCTGATCCCCCCAACCACCACAGCCACGTTCACACAGACCCAGACCCAGTCCTCCCAGCAGCCCCTAGAGAGCATCCCCATTAGGCCAGTGAGGAAACAGACTTAGGGATGTGGAGTCCTTAGCCCCTTGCCTGGATTCCCACCCAGTCGTTGGAATCCGGGGAGTGAGGGAAGCCGGGAAGCACTGGGGGCTGGCGGGCTCAGGAGAGGGGTCTCCGGGGAAACGGAGGGGATGGAGGGGGTGGCCCTGCTGGGAGATGGCAGCAGGTGGAGAGAGGGAGGGCGTGGCTGTACACAGACCAGGTAGAAGACACAGAGCACGTGGGAGGGACTGGGGAGGGACAGGAATGCAGGAGCCCAGAACACCCTCTGCTCCCCTCAGAAGGAGCAAGTAAAGCATGCGCAGTCAGTGTCGGCCACAGAGATAGGACCACGGGTAAGACACTTGCCTTGCACGTGGCAGACCTGAGTTTGATTCCCGGCACTCCGTGGGGTCCCCCAAGCCTACCAGAACTTAACTCTGGACACAGCGCCAGGAGTAAGCCCTGAGAACCACTGAGTGTGGCCCATAAACCAAAACAAAACCCTCTTTTAAATTCTCAATTCTGGAGCGATAGCACAGCGGGTAAGGCATTTGCCTTGCACATGGCCGACCCGGTCGGCCCAGGTTCGATTCCTTTGCCCCTCTCGGAGAGCCCGGCAAGCTACGTGAAAGTATCTCGCTTGTACAGCAAAGACTGGCAAGCTACCTAGTGACATATTCAATATGCCAAACACAGTAACAACAAGTCTCACAATGGAGACGTTACTGGGCCTGCTCAAGCATAATCGATGAACGACGGGAGGACAGTGCTACAGAGCTGGAGAGAGATTACAGTGTGTAGGGTGCTTGCTGTGCACACGGCCAACTGGGATTCGATCCCCAGCATCCCATATAGTCCCCGGAGTACCGCCAGGAGTAGTTCCTGAGTGCAGAGCCAGGAGTAACCTCAAGACCAAAATGAATGAATGAACGAGTGAATGAATTAGGTAACTGTTGGCCCGGAGAGATTGTAGAACGGTTTAGGCATGTGTCTTGCCTGTGGCCAGCCCCAATCCCATCCAGCAGTGCACAAAGTCCCCTGAGCACAAAGCCAGGAGTAGTGCCCGAGCACTGCCAGGTGTAACCCCAACCAAAATAATTACAGCAATAATAATAGCAGTAAATTGCGTTAAATGAATGTTGATCATCTGTGTTGGGGGTCTCCATCATAGGAGGGGGATTTCCCAGTGATTCCCACCCTCCGTAAATGAATAGCGTTGGAGAGAGGTCAGAGAGGGCGCACAAGCAGAATTGGGGACTTGGCTGTCTCTCCAGACGCTTCTACTCCTGACAACGCTGCCCCTGTTCTGTCACCGTTAGCATTTTGGGTCTGAGCCTTTTCAAGCTGGCAGAGCAGAAGCGACCCCTGCGGCCCAGGAGGAAGGGGCGGAAGAAGGTGACAGCCCAGAACCTGTCGGATGGAGACATCCGGCTGCTGGTGAACATCATCCGGGCCTATGACATCCCCGTGCGGAGGGCCAGCGCCAGGTGAGAGTCCTGGGGGCACCGGCTCACGTGCCCGCCAGCTCGGGGACACGTGACAGTGCACGTCATGTGGCTCTGAGCGGTAAGGGGGCCCTGAGCTTCGTGGCATCCAGGCGGTACGGGCTGCGAGGAACAAAACCAAGTCCATGGTCGGGTCTGAAGGGGCTTTTGTTGGGGTCTTTTCTGTTTTTATTTATTTTTAGGAAAGGGAAAAGGTTTCTTTGCCACAATAGCGGAAAGGGTCACGTTAGTGTAAGCCTACCCACCGTGCCTGGACAGGGGCCGTGAGCTCGACAGAAGGGGTGCAGGCACAAAGTTGGCTTTTTTAAAGAAAGACATTTCTCTTACGTTTTGTTGTCTTTAGAATTGAGTATCAAACAATTTCGTTCCAGCCATTCGAAGGAGACACCCTTGGTCCCCTGCGCGGTAGATGACAGTGACCACTCACTAAAGCATTTCAGATGCTAACCCTTGGAATAAGTTGACCCACCCTGTGCCTCTACCACTAAACTAGAGTCGTCCATCTTGCTCTCTGGACGCTACTCCACAGCCGTCCTCCTTGATGGCCTTGCACCCCACGTTCCTGAGGCTGTGTTTACATGTTGACAGTCCGTTCTAGTTCCAGTGGAAGTGACTCTTCCTTGTCTTGGCAGCCCCAGACAGAAAACTAAACTATCTAAAGCATCATGGGTACTTAACACACATTCATGGAGTCATGTTCTGAGAAGCATTCCAAGGAGAAAAAGGGTTTTCTCCGACCAAGGTGTTTTGAATGATCCACTTTGAATACATCATTAGTTTGTCTGAAATCCTTATGGATGAAAAGGTAAGGAAGAGAGAAGTTAGAAAGAGACCATTTGTGCCTTTTCTTTCACGGGTGTATGATGCTTGGTAAACCAGAGGCTCAGAACAAACTCACAGAGAGGGGCTAGTGTGAGGGGGTTTGTCCAGGATAACTGCAGTGATCCCTGAGCTCGGAGGCAGGAGGAAGCCCGAGCATGCGGGGTAGGGCCCAAATTAAAAATAAATAGCTCTCCACCACCTTGGACTTATGCAGGCCTGGACCAACCAACAGAAATGGCTGAAAGCTGTGGTCCAAATCCATTTTTGCTGACTCTAAGTGGGATCTCCGGAACCAGAGGGAGCACACAGGTCTTCTTAAAATTGAAGGTGTTTATGCTAGCGATAGCACAGCGGTAGGGCATTTGCCTTGCACGCAGCCAACGTGGCCAACCCGAGTTCAATTCCTCCGCCCCTCTCAGAGAGCCCGGCAGGCTACCGAGAGTATCTCGCCCGCATAGCAGAGCCTGGCGAGCTCCCTGTGACGTATTCGATATGCCAGACACAGTAACAACAAAGTCTGCAATGGAGACGTTACTGGGCCCGCTCGAGCAAATCAGTGAACAACGGGAGGATTGTGACTGTGACTGATGCTAGGGATGAAACTGAATTCTATCTGGGCAAGAGATGTGCTTACGTATACAAAGCAAAGAACAACACAGCAACTCCTGGTGGCAAACCTAACAAAACCAGGATCTGGGGAAAGGTGATCTGAGCCCATGGAAAAAGTGGCATGGATCGAGCCAATTGGTCACAGAATTCATGTGATACTGTACCCCTCAAAGATGTAAACTTACTGAAAAGTAAATAAATAAAGGGTATATTTATGCCTTGGGTCTGCATGAAAGGACAGTGAGTAGAGTGCTGGCCCTCTGGAGAGCTTCATTCTTCCTTGAATAGCAGCTCAGGGACTGGGATGGAACCCAGCAGTAGAGGGTGTGTCACATGGATGAGACCCTGTGTCCCACCCACCAAAGGAAGCAAGTCCAAAGAGGACAAGGGTAAGACAGGTCTCCAGCTACAAATTCCTCACATCCCTTGCTGAGTAAGGAGTGAAGAAAGATGCCCTGAGCTGTAGTGCTAGTACAGCGGGGAGGGTACTTGCCTTGCATGCAGCTGACCTGAGTTCAATCCCTGGTACCCTGCATGGTCCCCTGAGCCCATCAGGAGTGATCATTGAGCTCAGAGCCAGGAGTAAGCCTGAGCACTGTGAAGTAGGGCCCAAGTTTAGAGATGATGATGATGATGATGATGATGATGATGATGATGATGACGACGACAACAACGACGACGACAACAAATGTCTTGGGTCAGAATGATAGTATGGTTGATAGGATGGTGTGCAGGGTGATTGCCTAGCATCCCATATGGTTCCCCGAGCACCTCCGGGAGGGATTGCTGAGTGCAAAGCCTGAGCATCACTGCTGTGTGGCAAAAAAAAAACAAATTAGCAAAAATACTCAGCTCAAGGTGACTGGAGAGAACATGCTCAGAGAAATCAAAGAGGGAGGAAGCCAGAGCAAGGGGCAGGCGCCCGCCCCCAACTCCCGAGAGGACCTGAGGCGCTTGCTCATGCCTGGGGACAGCAGCAGACAAAGCCTGCAGGGAGAGAGCGAGTGGGCCCTCCTCTTCGGCTCTGTCAGAGGGGGCAATCACCAGAGTACCCCAAAAGTCTTCTGAAAAGTGGGGCTCAGAGAACACATGTCCCAGGCTGCTGGCCTGCGTCCCTGGGAAACCCTCTCAGTCCCTGTCCTTTTGGTCTCTCGTATGTTTTCCCTTCTAGCAAGTTCCAGCAGCCATCGAGAGCCTCAAGGACTTTCAGCGACAGGCCTGTGGCCTCCCCAGTCACTCACAGTCCGACCCACGGCACTGACCCCAGCCTCGGCCAGGTGGGACCCCACAACCAGACCTCAGCTTGTCTGGAACCCCTTCTTGTCCATCCACGGCATGGGGGTGCCCTAGTCGGTTCTGTTTGGCGTTCTTGGGGAAGTAGCTGTATAGATTCTTCCTCTGTCAGGGCAAAAGAATTCCACTCAGCGGGTAAGGACTCATGACTTGCCTCTGGTTTGAAGGTTTTAGTACGTCCTTTCGTAGAAGTGTCATTCCAACGAACCATCTGCCACACAACAACGGCGGACGGGCCGAACCCCAGCTGGAATGAGGAGCTCGAGCTCCCCTTCAGGTGAGAGTATTTTTTTTTCACAGAGGGGATGTGTCTAGCAGTCTGGGACACTGCCCTGGTGGGTTTCCAGGAAAAGACTTATTTTGAGATCTGGAAGTGAACTCAGGAATGATCTAGTCCATTCTGCTTTTGAAGAAAAGCAACTCGGAGAAGGAATGAAGTGCTCAGGGCACAAGGCCGGGGTCTGTGTTCTTCCTGTGGTCTGTAGGAGAGGTGGGTGTGGCTGCTGTACCCGTTACCTCTCTGTGCAGACTGGGACGATTCCACGTTAGCTCTGAGCTTCCGGGGGTGCCAAGCCAGTGCAAAATACTTGATCATGGCTGCCTGGAGAACTGCTTTTGAAATGGGCTTGTCAATAAAAAAACAAAAACAAAAAACTATGAGGGCTGGAGCAGTAGCACAGCAGGTAGGACGTTTGCCTTGCACGCGGCTGACCCGGGTATGATTCCCAGCGTCCCATATGGTCCCCTGAGCACTGCCAGGAGTAGTTCCTGAGTGCAAAGTCAGGAGTAACCCTTGTGCACTGCTAGGTGTGACCCAAAAAAAGCAAAAGAAAGAAAACTATGATTAGCGAGTGAAATCTGCTGTGGTCAGGGAAGGGCTGAAGAACTGGCGCACTGTGTGGGCCACATTTTCATACAAAATTTGCTGACACCCAGGAAATTGCTTCACCTATGGCTTCAATTTTAGTCACCCTCTCAACCTTCAGTTGTAAGGGTCCTTTAATTTCTTTTTTTTCTGAACAGAAAACTCTAGACAAAACTTAGATAGTAATTGGCCACTCCCTGTCATTCTTTCCTAACGAATTGAAATTGTTTTTTAATTATTTACAGCCTGCTCTCGGGCTGGAGTGATAGCACAGTGGTAGGGCGTTTTCCTTGCACACAGCAGCCAGCCCGGCCGACCCAGTTTCGATTCCTCTGCCCCTCTCGAAGAGCCTGGCAAGCTACCGAGAGTATCTCATCTGTACGGCAAAGCCTGGCAAGCTCCCCGTGGCGTATTCGATATGCCAAACACAGCAACAACAAGTCTCACAACGGAGATGTTACTGGGCCCGCTCAAGCAAATCGATGAACAACGGGAGGACAGTGACAGCCTGTTCTCATTAGGAGGCTGTCCTCTTAACATATATATAAGAACTTAAACGGACTGTTGTAGTAGAGTGGTAAATTGGGCTCATTGCCTTAATCGTCTGAAGTGTTCCCTCTGTGTAGAACACTTGCTTCTGTGTGCACACAGGTATTCCCATTTTGTACACACCTAACATGTCTGGAGCTTGCAGCAGGTCACCTGGTAAAGGAGAGACTGGGCATGGGTTGGAACTAGTCAAGGCAGAAGAGCGGGGCAGCTAATGCTGTCTTCTCTGGGGAGAGTAGACTGAATCAAAACGTGGAGAGGCAATGCTTAGCCAAGCACAGGCTGGACACGGCCCTACTGGACGGCTGGGTGCTTCTGCTGGTGGGGCAGGAGCTGGACCTCACCCTGTGTTATTTCACAAACCAACCGCAAGACAGTGGGAGGCGGAGCCCTTCAGCCAGCCAGAAGCAGGAAGTTGGAGACTAGGGAGTGGAGAAGCCCTCCAGAGCCTTCTTGCTTAGGAAGTGCTCACACCAGTGGCAGGACTTGGAGGTAGCCTGTCCATAGGGTCCATGCAGTCCTTGCAGAGCTCACCAGAAGGCTCAGGCGGGAGGTAACTCGCCAGGACAGAGGGTTTGACTCTGCCCAGAGCTTCTGATCTATGCCCTGTCCATGTGCCTGGAGACCTCATGTTCTGGTACAAGACATATTGTGGATGCAGGCATTCTTACGTCTTTTGGGGCATCTTTCAGATGTTGGCATTTGAGTGTTTGCTGTTGCTTATTATTGGGCTGGAGCGTTTGTAGGGCGTTTGCCTTGCGTGCAGCCAGCCCGGCCAAGCCAGGTTCGATTCCTCCGCCCCTCTTGGAGAGCCCAGCAAGCTACTGAGAGTATCTTGCCCGCATGGCAAAGCCTGGCAAGCCACCCGTGATGTATTCTATATGCCAAACACAGTAACAACAAGTCTCACAATGGAGACGTCACTGGGCCTGCTCGAGCAAATTGATGAACAATGGGAGCACAGTGCTACAGTGCTACAGTGTTCCTTATTGGCCCATCTTGATGGTCCCGTGTGCCCCCTTGTAGGGCTCCCAGCGGGGACTACAGCACGACCAGTTTGCAGTCAGTGAAAGACGACGTGTTCATTAACATTTTTGATGAGGTGCTGTATGATGTCTTGGAGGTAAGTGCACAGGTTTTGTTTACTTTGGGTTTGGGTTTGGGGGCTACAGCTGGCGTGGCAAAGCATCACTCAGCCCACTGGACTATCGCTCTGGCCCCAAGTGCACAGTTTTGAAGACAATTGACTATTTGGGATTTTCATACCTTCTACAAACATCTAAGTCCCAAATATGTTTTTGAAGACAATGACCATTTTGGATCTTCATATCTTCTACTGAGATTTTTATACCTCTAGAAACATATGTATGTATATATATCCCAAATATGTTTTTCCTCTTTCTTGTGTTTAAAATATTTGAAACTTGAGAAGTAAAACTAGGGATGGGGGGGAGACCTGTTCTTATTCCCAACTGAGTGTTATGTGTCAGGAAGTGTGTGAGGTGCTTTATTTTCTTCCTCAAGGCCAAACTCCAGAATGACTGGTAAATTTACAGTCTATTTATGAACCTCCTTAGAAATTCCTTGTCTTTCCTAGGGTCACATAACTATCAAGTCTCTGATCTGTCTAGCCTCTGGCTCAATGCCTGCTGCTGGGCTGGGTTTATTAAATGTCTCACATTGTTCCTAAAACCATGGTTTCTTCCCACCCCTCTCTTAGGATGACCGTGAGAGAGGAAGAGGAATCCACACCCGAATTGAGAGACACTGGTTGGGATGTGTGAAAATTCCATTTAGCACCATTTATTCCCAAGCCAGGGTAAGCATCTCAGGCCAGAGTGCTGTGACCATCAGGAGGCACCCTGGCCATCTTTCCCCTGCATGCTTTCTCTGTTCGTGCCTCCCCTTCTCCTGAGAGAGCCAAGATGTACAAAGCCACCTTGGGAAAGGTGGGTACCACAGTGAAGCCATTGACCCACCATGTTTGCAAGGCTGACTCCACGTTCCTCTGCCTCCCATTGAGTTCATATCTGATTACCCCAATCTGGAACTGAGTCAACACTGACATAGATGTGAAGAAGAGAGTGGGACCTGCCTGCTGGCAGGACAAAAGTGGAGAGGAGAGATTCCTGCACTAGTGAGGAGAAAGCGTTTGGGGCGACTGCAGACCCATGTCAGAGTACCTGCTAGGCCGGCCCCCAGGGTCCTTATTCGCACATGAAAACAGTGATCTGAGACGCACTTGACCAGGATGCCCATCTCAGTCCTGACAGGCATCCACTTGGTGAACAACTCCTGACTTAGGGGTTCTTTTTTTTTTTTTTTATGTTTGAAACTTTATTTCAACACCCTGGTTTACAAAGTTCCTCATAATACAGTTGTTTCAGGTATTCAATGGTCCAACACCAATCTCACCACAGTGTGACCTTCCTTCCACCAGTGTCCCCAATTCCTACATACCCCAAGCCTGCCTCCTTAGCAGGCACAAAATAACTTATTTTATGTTGCTTGGTGCAATAGGTATCTCACAGTGATGTCACTGGAGTCATTGTCTGGCAACTTGCTGACTGTTTGTTGGTAGCTGGGCCTTCCATGTTCGTTTTCACTCACTGAGATCAGAGGCCTTCCATGCAACTTTCCCACCTCATTTGCTCTGCTCCTGCGGGGCTCCTAGTTTCAGCTCCGTGACATCAGGAAGCGAGTGGCCGCCTACTCCAGGAGCTGTGGAACTGGGATGACTCAGTGGCCTGCAGCTCCTCGAGACAAGCTGTGGCGCTGTGTAGCTGGTCTGTTTATACGCTGGCGAGTGCTGGTGTGGGTGGGCGCTGGGCCTCTCGGCAAAGGCGTAGCTCGCCCCATTCCCAGAAAGTTCCAGAGATCTCAGCCCAGAGCCGGTGGTGGTGAGCTGAGTCTTGACAGATGGACATACACCTCCCATCCCGAACGATTCCCCCAACCATCATTGACTTAGTGATCCCTTCTCTATTCCAGCTGCTTTCTCCCCCAGTTCATGAGACAGGCCTCCAACTATGGGGCAATATTCCTGGTCCTTGTGTCTACTGTCGTTGGGTGTTAGTCTCATATCATGTTATTTTATATTCCACAAATGAGTGCAGTCCTTCTATGTCTGTCCCTCTCTCTTAGACTCATTTCACTGAGCATGATACTCTCCATGTCCATGCACCTATAAGCAAATTTCAATGAAATACTACACAGCAGTTAGGAGAGATAAAGTCAGAGTAGGTTTTTTTTAAGAAAATTCTTTCTTTTGGGTGTTGGGGATTGAACCAAACCTGGGCTTGCTGTGGGAGGCATGGGTTACACCTGGCAATGCTCAGGGGCTCTCCCCAGCTGTGCCCAGGGATTGTTCTTGGCAGCGCTTGAAGGGCTGCATGTTGGCAGAACCAAATGGGGTTGGCCACGTGCAAGGCAAACATATTAACCCTTATACTCTCTCTCTCCAGCCCGAAACAGTTTTAAAACCTGAATCACCGGGAGAAACAGTTACAGAGCTGTTCACAGTTGGGTTTCAGTCATCCAATGTTCCAATCCTTGTTCCTCCACCAATGTTCCAATCCTTGTTTCCTAGCACCAGTGTCCCCAGGTTCCCTCTCACCACCTGCCCTCCCCCGCCTGGCTCTATGGCAGGTACTGTCTATCTCTGTCTCTCTGTCTCTGTCTCTGTAGGAGAAGGGACTGTGGCAGTGAGGGAGGCGTGGACGCCCTCCACTGTGGCAGCACTGATCTGTGTGTGACTGGCAAGTGGCCAGAGCATGTCAGCAAACAGCAAAAGAAACAGAACATGTGCGAGGTTGATGGGGGTGATAATCACCCAAGAAGGGCTCACCTGGGGGCCAAAGAGATAGTACAGTGGGTAGGGCGCTTGCTTTGCACTTGGCCAACCGGGTTTGATCCCTGGCATCTCTTAGGGTCCCCTGAACACTACTAAGAGTAATTCATGAATGCAGGGCCAGGAATAACCCCTGAGCATCATTGGGTGTGGCCCCCAAACAAAAACAAAATAAAACAAAAACAAATGGGTCACTTCTTTTCTAACCTGGGTCTTGAAAAATGGCTCCACTACAAGAAGGCTGATCTTTACTCCACCACTGGAAAGTGTGTTTCATATTTCCTACCAGTGTGTTGTTCTTCCATCTGCATTAGTAGGATGCTCTCGGCCGCAGTGGGCAACTCTTCCAGATGTTCCTGCCAAGCCCTTCAGAATCCCCACCCTCCCCTCCCCAACGGCTCTAAGTGCAGGCAGCCTCTCAGTGTGCAGAGAGGGTGAGGGTCTGCACTGCAGGGCTAGGAGAGGGTAGAGAAACAGCAGAGGGACTGGAGCAATAGCACAGCGGGGAGGGCGTTTGCCTTGCACACTGCCAATCCGGGTTTGATCCCGGGCATTCCATAGAGTCCCCTGAGCACAGCCAGGAGTAATTCCTGACTGCAGAGCCAGGAGTAAGCCCTGGGCATCACCGGGTGTGATCCAAAAAGCAAATAAATAAATAAAATAAAAATAATAGAAATGAACACTCTGGACAAAAACCGAGTTCAAAGTAGGTAAAGGGATATACATGATAACCTTTCGGTATCTGTATTGTAAACCATAGTGCTCAAAAGAAGAAAGAAAGAAAGAAAGAGACAGAGACAGAGACAGAGAGAGAGACAGAGCAGAGGGAGAAAGGCCTGGAAAGAGGGCAGTGCCTGCCAGGCGGCCCCGAGCACCCCGGCACCAGACAGGGGGAGCCGGCACCGGCCGCTGAGTTTCTGTTGGGGAGCCAGCCCCAGGAGGCCGTTGTGGACCAGGGTGTGTTCTCCACGCAGATCGATGGCACCTTTAAGGTGGACATCCCGCCCGTACTCCTGGGCTACAGCAGGGAGCGGAGCGTGGCCGAGAGGGGCTTCGAGCCCGCGAGGAGCCCGAGTGACGGCCCCTACCTCACCCTCTTCATCACCATGGAGCCGCAGCTGGTGCCGGGGGAGCCCATTCGAGAAAAGGTAACGACCCCGGACCCCCGGACCGGCTGCGCTGGCGTGCTTGGGAGGCTGCGTCGGGCGGCGGAGCGCGGGGGATGCGGTCCCGGTTCGGTCCCCAATGCCACGTGCTTCCCTGGCACGGCTGGGGGCAGCCCCGGAGGCGCCGGGCACTGCCGGGGGTCCCGGGGGCACCCACCCGTAGGACCTGGGCTGCACCACACCCTTGGGGCCCGGTGTGCAACCGCCCGACCAGCTGGCCCAGCACATTTGGAAAGTGGCTCCCAGGCCCCCGAGCACTGCCTAGGAGTCTCCTCCCACCAAACACGACCACGCAGAGCGTCAGCCTGGCCCCCTCCGCACCCCACGGTCTCCCTGTTTCTCGGCCGTTCGGGTGGGATGGAGAGGACGCGGCCACGCCGCTCCGTGCCGTGCAGCCCCCGGGTCCCCCCGGCGATTCCCCACGCGGAGACAGGCCGAGGCCCCGCAGAAACGGGCTCCGCTGCGGGAGCAAAACCAGCGCTGACACGGCGGATGGGCTGGGGGTCGGCCGCGCCCCCGGAGGTGTCCAGGTCAGTGCCCTAGACCCCGCGGCGATGGACCCTCTGGGGTGCTGGCCGGGACCAGCTCCGGAGAGTGACAGACACATCAGCGCGTCCAGCTGCGGGGGGGGGGGGGGGGGGGGGAGTGCGCGGGTGGCCCCTGCCCTCCCCCCCTCCCTCCCTGGTCCCCTCCTCCCCAGGCTGGCCGCAAGGGAGAGGCTGAGAAAGGCGCGGGGCTGCCCTGCCAGTCCTCAGTCAGAGCCAGAGGTTGCGTGTGAGCCGGAGTCTGCCCATCCGGCCGTCCTCGCGGCTCCCCTGGGCGGGCTTGTCGGCCCAGGACTCTGACGCCTACAAGCTGGTGGTGGCATGGAGCTGGTGCAGCCCGTCCCTTTGTTAGTTTGGCTTGGGGGGGGGGGGGGGGCTGGGAGTGTGTTTGCCACAGTTGCACAATTGAGTGTTCCCTTGGCATGGCATGGACAGAAGGGCCCCAGGGCCACTGGCAACACAGGCCTAGTGGGAGGCAGCGTCACTGCCCCCACCAGCCTCAGGCAGAAATGCTGGAGCCCCGACCCGGTCCGGAACGTCTGAAAATTCTGCATTCTAGTGTATAAACGCAACTGAGACCCACAAAACACATTCCAGCCAGCCCCCACCCTGGCCCACCCCAGTGCTCCAGACACAGGGATATTTTTTTTGAATCACTGAGATAAACCCTCACAAAAGCTGTTCATGATCAGTCTTTCAGTCCTACAGTGTTCCAGCTCCCATCCCTCCACCAGGGTACATTTCTCTACACAAGGTTCCTGCCCATCACCCCCCAATGTCTGCCTCTATGGCAGGCATTTTCCTTCTCTCCCTCTCTCTCTCTCTCTCTCTCTCTCTCTCTCTCTCTCTCTCTCTCTCTCTCCCCCCCCCCCCCTTTTGGGCATTGTGGCTTGCCATATAGGCACTGAAAGTTTATCAGGTACATCCCTTTACCTACTTTTAACACTCAGTTCTTGTCCAGTGTGATCATTAACAACTATTATTGTCATTCTGGTCCCTTCTTTATCTTACCTGCCCTCCGCTCCACACACACACGGGTAGATTCCAACCACTGACCAGTCCTCCTAGCCCCTGTTTTCCCTGGCCTTAGATATTAGTCCTCTAATATATATAATTTTTCTATCCCACAAATGAGTGCAACCATTCTATACCTGGCCCTCTCCTTCTGACTCATTTCACTCGACATTATATTCTCCAGGTCCATCCATTTACAGGCAAATTTCATGACTTCACTTTTCCTAACCACTGTGTAGTATTCCATAGTGTAGATGTGCCATAGTTTCTCCAGTCATCTGCTCTCAGGTGGCTGGTGTGTTCTTTACATAAAGTAACCCCCTCCCCCACAGACAGACAGACAGACAGACAGACACACACACACACACACACACACACCACCACCACCACCACCACCACCAGGAGGCAAGCTTCCGGAATGTGAGTGTGTGGGGAGACAGCCCTCGTGGCACTAAGATGGTCCCTGTACAGGACCCACGGAGGCCTCTGCCACCTGCCTTCCCTCCAGCCCTGTGACAGCAGCTTCAGGCTGCCACTTCTGCTGGCCTGGGGCTGGGGCAGAATTGCCCCAAGGGCACATGCTAGGAAGCTGTTTGACAAGGAAGCCGGAGGAACAGGCCAGACCCTCAGGGGGCAGCAGGGCCGCTCAGCGAGTCCCTGCCTGAGTGGGGCTCTGGAAGGAGCCGCTCAGCTGCCAGCTGCGGCCACACTGGGCTTCTGACAGGGACTTCCAGATGAGCACATTGTGTTCCTCTGACTGCTGGCCCCTGTGTGACCGTTTCCTTGGATTCGGGGGGTGGAGGGGGTGAGAGTCAGGGCCACTTGCTGACCAACAGGCACTTCCAACAGTGTTAGGAAGACCATACGTGGCCTCCGAGACTCACCAAGGTTAACCAATGCCAGCAGGTGCCTTGCTCGCTATTATCTCTCCAGGCCCTCCACAGGATTGATTTATTATTTTGGGCCTCACCCAGCTGTGCTCAGAGATGTCTCCCAGCTCTACTGGTCCCGGATGTCTCAGGGAACACTCTGGGTGGGCTCAGAGGACCACGTGGGGTGCTGGGGATCCAACCTGGGTCAGCCGCATCCAAGACAAGCACCTTATCCACTGTATTGTTTCTCTGCCCCCCTCCATATGATTTTTTTTTTTAGAGATTTACTCATGGAATCTTCCTTTAAAATCCATAAATCTCCTGAAGCTCTCATTTGAATATCCTTTGCTTGAGGGGCCAGAGAGCCAGTACAGCTGCTAACCTGATGTGCGAGCAGCCTGAGGTCAGCCCCCAGCACTGCCCATGGTCCCCTGAGCAAAGGCCACGAATAAGCCCTGAGCACAGCTGGATGTGGCCCCCAAGCCAGCCAACAAACATCCTTTGCCTGAGATTGTCCTGTTGCAAACAGGGTTTTAATAGACTCGACTTCTGCTAATAAAACCCTCCTCTTGTTTCTTTCTTGTCTGATAGACGAGTGGCACGCTTACAAAGGTACCAAGTATTTTGTTTTACCCCTTCATCAATCAGTAGATGCTTAACCCCTCACTATCAATAAAGCCTATTTAAATTAGGCTTTCATCAGCTGCTTTTGTCCCCTGCCACCTTCATGAAGCTCCCAGTGTATGTGTGATCCTCTAACTGTGGCCAGGATGAATGTGCAGATTGATCTTTCTTTTCCCTTTTCCTTTTTTTAGTTTTATTATTATTATACTTTTATAATTATTATTTTTATTATTATTTACCGTTATTTTTTATTATTATATTATGTATCACATTTACAATCATGCTGAATTTCATGGTGTTGATGTCAAGCTATGCACCTTGCCATGTGGTGCCCACAGGATGTCACTTCTGGTCAGCCTTTTCCTTCCTGACCCTCCAGCACTGACCGCTAATCTGTTTTGTAATCCAGGGCCAGGGGGTTATCACTGTTGTTCCTGTCTGTTCCCTTGTCTGGTCGCTGTGTGCCAAAGATGAGGGAGACCATCTTGACTTGTCCTTCTCCCTCTGACTGGCTCCCTGCACGGTGAAATCCCCTGCTTCCATCCATGTTGCAGTGAACTGAAACGATATCACCCTCTATTACAGTTGCAAACGCTTCTGTTGTGTAGACACACCACAGCTTCTTTATCCACTCATCTGTGGTTGGGAATTTGGCTTGTTTCCACCTCTGGCTCTTCTCCCAAGCACTGCCAGGAACACAGGTGTGCAAACAGCAGTTCAATCGATGTTGCTGTGGAGTTGATGGGAGATGCCAAGTGGTTGAATTTCTAGGTCACATGGAACTCTATTCTTATATTTTTGAGGACTCTTCATTCTGTTTTCCATAGAGGCTTGACCAGATAACATTCTCTTGTTCTTTTAAATGGGGCACTGATTTTTACCCCCGTCTTTTTGATATATGCCATTCTCACTGGTCGGAGTTGATAGCATTGTGGTTTCCATTTTCCTGATAATAAGTGTTGATATCCTCACTGGGGAAGTGGCTTGTTCATCTCCTTGACCCATCTTTTAATGGTTTATTGGTTTTTCTGTTGTTGAACTTTGTGAGCACTTTGTGGACCTAGATATTAGCCCTTTAGCTGATGTATGCTATCATATATTTTCTCCTATTTATGATGTATGATGTCTTACTTTCTAGAGGTCTGAGTTGTTTTTTTTTTTTTTTTTGGCAGTGCTCAGAGAATCCTATGTCCTATGGACTAAATCAGGGCATCGTGTATAGCAAGCATGTGTTCCAACCCTGTGAACTATTTCTCTGGCCCTCGACTTTGCCTTTCATTTTGTCAAACATATTTTTATTTGGCCTTGAATCTGAGAAGTCCAAGTTGTAATGTTACTTGCATCTGGGGAATGTCCAAGTCCCTAAAATCTGCCAGCTTCAAAGAAGCATATAGCTGTGACAGAACAGATATTGATGAGGAGAAACCCATTCCATTTCCCACAAAAATTTAAATTAAATTAGAAGGCAAAGAATTGAGGCAGATTAAGACTATTAACAAATTTTAGGACAGAGGATGTAGGTAGTCCACTGGCAAAGCACACACATTACACATATAAGACTCCAGGTTCTAATTTGAATAACACACACACACACACACACACACACACACACACACACAATCCTAAATGTGAGTTCCACCTTAATTTCATCATAAATCCCCCAATTTTTTTCAGTATCTAGTTTTCCCTTGGTAGTTTTTTAAGATTTTACCAATGTCTGGGCTGGAGTGATAGCACAGAGGGTAAGGCATTTGTCTTGCATGTGGCCAATCCAGGTTCAATCCCTGGCACCCCATGTGGTCCCCAAGCCTTGCCAGGTGTGATCCCTGGGCACAGATCTGGAAGTAATCCCTGAGCACCACTGGGTGTGACCCAAAAACCAAACTCACAAAAAGAGATTCAAGTCTACACACAGGGCCATCTGTTACCATTTCACACCTTCCAGTGGCACCCTGGTATCCTAAGCAAGTATAATGATCAGAGAAATGTGCAAGAAGGTTGCTGAAAGGAACACAGACCTATTCAGACAGGACTCTGCTCTCAGAAATGCAGGTCACAAAGCCAAGTGTCCAACAAGGCCCCCAGGCCCATGTGGCAGAGAAAGTTCTAGCCCCCTCTGTTTCCATTTTGAAGGCTAATCAGTCAGTCCTGAACTAAGACTTTTATTGTTCTTCCTGCCTGCTGATGCCTGTCTGATTCCCTGGTGCTCGGCTCAGCTGTTTGAAGCTTGTGAGTGCTGGTTCCCTCTGGCCTAAGAGTTCCTTGGGGACTGTTTCATATCGAGTCATCCCTAGAACTTAGGACTTTTCATACTCTTGACAAACATTTGTGAAGTTCCAAATAATAATAATAATAATAATACAAAAATATATTATTGGAATAATTGAAAACACTTGTTAGGATGAATAAGTAAATGAATGAGTTGAAGGAAATGGATTAATTCAACTAGAGGCTTCTTTAAGACCTTATTTCTGAAATAAGCACCCCAAATCATCCTTCCTTATTTCATAAATCTCCAACTTTCTAAAGTTAGGATGGTTTCTGGTTGGCAATTCACCCTAGGAGTCTGTAGCCTGATCATACTACAGTCCTCTTACCGTCGTATCTTTTAAACATATTTATGTACTCATCATGGTATCCGTTGAGGAGCTGCCATGTTTTGGCTCTGTGCTAAGTAGCAGGTGGTTAAAAGGATGAAATGTGGTAAGTTGTGGGGGTCACAGGGACATCCCATGAAAATATACTAGGCTTTGGGAGATGCCTCCATCCTACCTAACCCCACCATTACCCCAATTTCTCCTGGGTACAGTGATAAAATCCAAATGAGTGTCCCAGTCCAGCAAGAGAAGTGAGAATATGCTAGATCCTACCTGCACTAGGCAAACTATTGGCATATTTCTATTCACTCGTTTATCCAGGCAGTGGTATTTGTTAAACACCAAAACATACTATATTGTATTTTCAGTGCCGGATACAAAAAAACAAAAAAACAGACCAAATTTCCCTGACTTTAGGAATTTTATTCTATGATGGAGACAGAATAAGCAAACATGTCATATATTAGCAATTTTTTAACTATCTAAGAGACCATGAGGGTAAAACCTGGATTGATGTCCCTCATTTAAAAAGTAAAGCAAAAGACACCTTTCAGGGCTGTGGAGACAGCGCAAGGGGGGAGAACATGACCGGGAGAACTGAGTTTGATGTTCAGCACTTCCTGTTCCTCCCTCCTCGACCACAGGGTGAACCCCTGGTTAAAACAACAAAACGGAATACAACTATCAAACACTCTCCTGAATCTAAATTCTACTGAAAGCTAAATATTCCTAGTAATATCCGTTGTTTTGAAATCCTCTGAAAAGAAAGCCACAATATGTGTTTGTATACTAAACAATGAAAATCTTATAAAGACATCTAAAAATCTCCTTTCTGTGCTATTGTTAGCAATGGGTTGAGTCAGGGGAAAGAATAACTTCTAAAAACAAATGGTGTTTGGGGAATGGAGAGAGCACAGCGGGCAGGGTGCTTGCCTTGCATGCAGCCAACCCCGTTTGATCCCTGGCATCCCATATGGTCTCTGAGCACTGCCAGAAGTAACTTCTGAGTGCAGAGCCAGGGGTAAGCCCTGAGCACTGATGGGTGTGGTCCCAAACCAAAAAAGAAAACCAAAAACACATACTGATTTATCTGCTTTGGACCACTTTTGAAAACTCTGAGAAACAAGTAGGTACTTTCAGATGGAAGATAAATAAGTTATAAGGATGCCTTAGAGTTGTGTGTGAATTGTGTCTATAAAACGGAAAGCTGGCAGTGTGGCTCAGTGGAGAGCACATGCCTTTTGTGCAGCTTCATGTGTGTAAAGAAGGTCTGATCCCTGGCACCTTAAAAAATAAAAAAGTGGAAAGAATCCTGGAAACTTGCAGCTCCTGCTGGATCACAAATGACTTAAAACATTTAACACTTCTAGCTCTGCGACCTTTATCCTTGAGATCCATTACTCTTAATACATTATGAATCTAAAACCTTTAAAAATATTCCCTTGTATGGATATTTATTATAATTACACGAGTTGCTTAAACTTTGCATTTATGATATTGAACTTCTGAGTCCCTTTTCTCTCTAAAATCACCATCAAAATGCCCTAACACTATTAGTTAATCTCATGGCCAATATTGGTTTATTAGTTTAACGTTCTGAGTTTGTTTTACTAACTCGAGCTCTGGATGCCTCCTTGACTGCAGTTTTCACTCAGTCCTAATGAATGTACTTTGCTGAGTTCACCTAAGTTCCGGGTCCTAAATACAATCCGCTGAATCCATAGGGATAGGATAGTCTTCAGGATACTTCCTGTGACCCACGTGTAGCTCGTGTTGACTATGGGATAGGAGCAAGTTCGTCTGTGTCTCCCGTGATCATATATAAACTCCATGGACACTTTCTTTCTGAAGTTTGATTCACAGGAAGATGAGAAATTACTTCAAGCAACAGAAAAGTTTCAAGCTGAATGTGCCTTAAAGTTCCCAAACCGTCAGTGCTTTACAACCGTGATCGACATCAGTGGAAAAACCGTTTTCGTTACACGTTATCTCAAGCCTCTGAACCCCCCTCAGGAGCTCCTCACTGCCCACCCCAATAACCCACAGGCAACGGCAGTAAGTACTCTGTAAACTTCCAGGGCTGGGGCTACAAGGACTTAAATTTTCAGCAATGGCCACTTTCATGACATTGAGTTCATAATACTTGAGGCAGTAGTGACTCTATCAGGATCATTAATGATTCATGGAATGATTAAAGTTTCTTTGGAACTAGGAGACTTACTTTGCTTACAAATGTCTGAAGGATAGGAAGCTTTGGTTGATTCTTTCAGTAAACAGTTATCTCATGCTTACTGTGTTTCTGACACTATGGTAGACGCTGGAGAATTAACATTAACACTAAGTGTCTTATGGAAACCTTTTCATGATGTATTCTCAATTACTGTTCGCATCACTCAGACCTCTGCTTTCAAACCAAGATAACTTTGGTGTTTATACTGGGTGCTCTAAGCTTCAATGAATTGAATTCAGAGGTAGATGTTTACCTGCAGATGTTTACATATATATGTGTATGTATATGTATATATATATGTGTGTATGTATATGTATATATGTGTGTATATATGTATATATACACACACACATATATCTTGTGGTTCACTCCTCATTTACTTTCTTATTAATCAATTTCTAGTGGGTACTTCTGTTATCCCTAGTATAGTACTGCATGTTGAAAACTTCTAGTAGAAAATATTTAGAGTGATGAATAAGATTCTTAGATACTTAAAGCATTTGAAAGATCATAGCTGAAACAGAATAAGGTGAATGGAGAAACCCCAGAAGACATAGGACTCAATAAAAAAGCAAGATGTCACAAGGTGAGGCCTCAAAGCCGAGTTTGCTCTGATCATTGCTGATCATTCCCAGTGTGGAAAACTGCTTCTTGGGCCTCCGGCTGCTGAGGACAAGAAATAATGCAGGGCTTAGGGCATCTGCCAAGGCTGCAGAGAGACTCAGGGGCAGAGGAGAAACAGTCAGAATAGCAACGAGGAAAGACCTGCCTTCCAGAGAGAATTCTGCCTTCCTCAGTCTTAACTCTGGATGGATACGTCACTCCTGAGAATTTCCTACTCACTCAGCAGCACTTACTCACATTTGGGACTGGAATTTACCCTGTTTGACCTGGAAGACACCAGTGGAAAATGTTATTGGTGGTATTTCCTGTTGGTATCACCCCTCGATCCCTATCAAAAGCACATCTATGTCCTAGGTCTAGAAGAAGTTCTTTTAAACTAAGCCTCAAAAAAAAAAAAGAGGGGGAAAAATGCCTAAGTAATATAGCATTGATCATTGATGAGGAAATAAGTCATTATTTCTGGAGCAGTTAGCAGAAACAACAAACTGCAGATTTAAGCCACAAAGAATGCAGACCTTAGAATCGTCAGATTCAGAACAGAAAGGGACAGAAATGTGAAAATCAGGTCCAGAGGGATAGTACAGCAGGCACAGCGCTTGCTTTGCACACAGTCCCTGGGTTCAATCCCTGGCACCACATTCAGTCCACTGAGCCCCGCCAGGACTGATCCCTGAGCCCAGAGCCAGGAGTACAGCCCAAAGGTAACAACAAAAATGTGAAACTGAATAAGGTCTCTAAAGATTTACAAGTAGTCCTAAAGCAAAGGGGTTGAGCCTCCCAGTGAAAGGACTAAAACTGTCAAACCAGATTACTTAAAGGAGCTTGATGTGCTGATTCTAACATGGCAGTGCAAAGGTATAAAAATAGTCAAGACAATGCTGAAGAAAAGGGTTCAGTGGGAAGATTTGCCGTATCACAGAGCCAGGCTATTTACAGATTCGTGTAATTAAGGAAGAAACGAGGAGATGGTATTGACAATAAATAAGAGGAAAACACAAGAGAATAAAAAGCCTGGATTAAATCCACTCAAATATAACCTACGCAGTCCTGACATATGGTAAAGGCAGGGGAAATCTGTGAAGAAAAGACAGATGAGGAGGGCTCGAGGGATGGCACAGCAGGTGCAGCAGGTAGGGCATTTCCCTTGCACGCACCCAATCCAGGTTTGGTTCCCGGCATCCCATATGGTCCCTTGAGCACCTTGAGGTGTGACCCCCAAAAGAGTGCCAAAAAGAAAAAGGAAAAAAAGATAACTGAGGAAAGAGGTAAGGCATTTACCTTGCATGCCCCAACCATGATTCAGTCACAGGCACCACATACAGACCCCCAAGCACTGCCAGGAGTGGGCGATGCAGGAGTTTCCAGGAGACCCAGGAGCGTTTCACCTGGGAAAGGTGGAAACTAACAATAACCTTCCCGTAGGATGTTCGAATAGGACCCAATCAGGTCACAGCACTTAAGAAACAGCTGGTGAGCATTTGGTAGTCAAAAAACGCTTGCAAGATGTGAGTCTTTCAAGAACTGAGGGGGAAGGTCAGACTTTCTGTCTTCTCAAAAGTGGTTTTTCCAAAGCTCCCTTCCTTTCCGTAGGAGCTGGTGGCTCGGTACGTGTCTCTGATCCCCTTCCTGCCTGACACAGTCTCCTTTGCTGGTGTCTGCGACCTCTGGAGCACCTCGGATGTAAGTAGCTTTCCCTCACACCTCCAGGAGCAGGGGTTGGCCTTGCTTGCTGAATGCGACCTCCACAGTCTGCCCAGTGCTCAGCCGAAAGCTTCGTGTGTCTTCACATAAATCATCTTGGCCATCCATCGGATGAGCAGAACGAGTCACTGAACATCATTCTTTTTGTCAGCAATTTATCTCCTAGCAGGAGATCAAGAAGAGCTTGAGCTCCATTCTGAAGCATTTTTTTGTTCCTGATTCAGTTAGTTAAAAGAACAAAAATTGTTTTAAAAAATTAGTGGGGTTAACAGAGTTAATACAGGGGGTAAGGGGCTGGAGCAATAGCACAGTGGGTAAGGCGTTTGCCTTGCACACAGCCGACCCGGGTTCAATTCCCAGCATCCCATATGGTCCTCTGAGCACCGCCAGGGGTAATTCCTGAGTGCAGAACCAGGAGTAACCCCTGTGCATCGCCGGGTGTGACCCAAAAAAAAAAAAAACAGGGGTTAAGGCACTGGTCTTGCATGCAGCCAACATTAGTTTGTTATGAAGCAGAGAGCCTGAGAGCAGGAAGTAGCTCCTGTGGGTGTGGCCTAAATCCCTACACACACACACACACACACACACACACACACACACACACACACACACACACTAAGAATTTACATACAGACTTCCTATTTGCTTGGATCTGGTTCCGAACACCACACTTAGCATTTGCTTGGGAGCTATTGCTGGCTCAGTGCTTGAGAATTATTCCTAGTGGTGCCTTTGGGGTTACTTCCGGCAGTGTACTCGGGACCATATGTGGTGCTGGGGATCAATCCCATGCCAGCCACACGAGAGACAATCAGTTTAGCCCTTGTCCTACCTTTCCAGCCTCTGAGTTGTGTTTTACTTAATGAGTTGCAAACACAGTACCAACATTAAAAGATGTATTTTTAAAGCAACTCATACAGTCAGGCATAATCACTCAACAAGCATTCTTTAGAATGACATATGGCGAATGCAGAACGAGTCACTGAATGCCACACTACCTTTCATTCTTTTTGTCAGCAATTTCTTGATCTCCTGGCAGGAGATGAAGAAGAGCATGCGGTACTGCTGTGTAATTATTTTCTCTCCCTGGGGAAAAAGGCCTGGCTCGTGATGGGAAATGCTATTCCTGAGGTAAGGACACGTGGGCTGCCTTGAAGAGCTGAGTGTGGTTGTGTGGTCTGATTGGGCCCGGGGTGGGACTTCAGACTGAATTCCTGCAAACTGGAGCCTTTAGCCATGCAAAAGCCACATTGCTGTTTTCCTGTGAGTCTCTTCCGCCACCTGAGAGAATCCCGATTCCTTCAGTACTGCCGTTACTCATGCTGAGGGGTGAGGGGGCTCTTGGGGTACAGCCAGGTTAGTCTCTGCCACGCCTGCTGCTAGCCTGGCTGGGAAGGGGACACCACATGCAGAGAACCCTGGCGGCTGTGTCTCCACATGATCACAGCCACTCCGACTAGATGGCCGAGTGCACGACTATTAGAACTGATTTCCAAAGCCCACTGCGTGAGAGTTGGGAGTGGTCATTCTAGACATGAACTGAGTGCTGAGAGGAGCGGAAGGGGTGCACGTGATAGCCCTTCAGTACCTGCACTGCAAGCCATAATGCCCAGAAGGGAAAAGCAAGCGAGAAAGAGAGAGACAGAGACAGAGAGAGAGAGGCAGAGACAGAAACAGAGACAGAGAGAGAAGGGGGGGAGAGAGAGAGACAGAGAGAGAGAGAGACAGAGACGGAGAGAGGGAGGGAGCGAGGGAAAGGAGAAAAGTGTCTGCCAGTGAAGAGTGGCGGGATGGAAACTGGGGACATTGGTGGTGGGAAATGTACCCTGGTGGAGGGACGGGTGTTAGAACATAGTATGACAGCCCCAATCATGAACAGCTTTGTAACTGTGCATCTCCCAGTGGTTCAACGAAAACAAAGAAAACAATGCCCATTACAATACCCCTGAATTGGAGCTGCAGCGATGGTACAGTGGGAAGGGCATTTGCCTTACATGCGGCTGACCCGGGTTCGATTCCCAGCATCCCATATGGTCCCCTGAGCACCGCCAGGAGTAATTCCTGAGTGCAAAACCAGGAGTAACCCCTGTGTATCACTGACTGTGACCCAAAAAGCAAAAAAAAAAAAAAAAAAACCCAAAAATATCCCTAAATTGGGGCATGCTGGAAAATTTGGAGGTACAGGTTGAGAAAGTTCACCTGGATTGCAGCAGTGCTTCCCAAGAGTATTCTGAAAGAAGAGGATGCCAGGTTCTGGGACCTGGCAGGATTTAGCACAGGTCCTGCTGCAGGTGGCCCCAGGCCGGGTCCCTAATTCATTCCCTGCAGCTCCCTTCCTGACAGCTGGCTCCAGGGAAGGCAGGGAGAGCGCTGGGCCAGCAGCCTGAGGCGGGGCTCACCTTCAGCAAGGGCTCTGTGTCACCACGTGGGTCTGTGCTTGAGAAGGAACCCGGGACCATACTGCTGACCCCGCTGGCCCCCGAAGGCTGCTGTGCATCAAATGAGATCAAACTGAGCAAGAAATGAATAAAAACATTTTCACTGTAAAAACAAACCTAATGTACACAAAGGGACCGGGGGATAGGATCAGTGGGAAAGCATGTAACTCACGCAGCCGAGGCCTGAAGTTTTTGTTTTTGCCCAAGCAAAGTGATAAAGGGGGCCAGCATGCACACAGGTGGCCATACAGACTGCTAAGTATGTTCCAAGCGGAAAGCCCTTCCAGGCTCCCAGCCCAGCCCCCACCCTCCCCATGTGCAGGTGTGACCACTCTGGGCCATGTGTCCTTCCAAACCCCTGCATATGCGCTGACCGGAGATGAAACCCATCTTCCAGAACCCAATGAGAAGTCCAGGTCCATGGGTTCAGTGATACCATACGCCAGCCTCAGGGATAGGGGAGGAGCTGGCCCTCCTCATCCACAACCCCTACAGGGCCCTGAGATGACGCCCACAGATGGCATCTGGCTACTATTTAAGCTCCTTAACAGCCATGATCCAGAGACACACAAAACAATCTCAGAACAGAGCAGTTTGCTGCAGAGAACTCTCCAGGCCCTAATTATCTAAATTTTAGAATTCCCGGAGCACACGGCTGCTCTTGCGGCTATGCGACATCTTATGCTATTCATAACAAGCAATACAAACTAAATTGTCTAGCACTGCCTTTTCGGCAGATTTGAGTGGTGGCGGGGAAATTCCAAATAATAATGGCGGGACCGGTGCTGAAATATTAAATGCAATCAAAGTAGAGAGAGAGTATTGTAGAAATTGTCTGCCACACAGGCAGAGGGAACAATTGGGATGGGAGGGGGGTGAAACTAGGGATTTTGGTGGCGGAAAATGTACACTGGTGGAGGGATGGGTGTTTGACCATTGTATGACCAAAACTCAAACATGAAAGCTTTGTAACTGTATCTCACGGTGATTCAGTTTAGAAAGGTGGGGGACGGGGGGAGGAGGTATCACATGCTCATTTCTGCATTCAAAATATAAGTCTTCTAGCCATTTAAAAGCCATCTTACTCTGAAAAGAAAAAATTTTTAAATATATTTGGGTTTGTGGGTTACACCCAGTGATGTGCAGGGGTCACTCGTGGCTCTGCATTTAGGAGTTACTCTTGGAGGTGCTCAGGGGATCATAGGGGATGCCAGGGATCCGATCCAGGTTGGTTGCAAGGCCCTACCTGTACTATAGCTCACCCAAAAATGCCGTTTCTTTCCATTGATAATAGTTTTTCAACCTAAAAACACATTCATTGGTAACAGGTTATTTGGTCCAAGAGGTTACCACACAGTACTAGTGGCAGATACAACAATCTGGGGGGAAAAAAATCAATGCCAAACTTTCTTTCCAATCCAGACCATTAGTTTAAAGAACTAGAACTTCAAACTAATGGTCCCCCTTTCCCATGGATTTAGAAATTTGAGTCCAGCAAAATGATGACCTGTCTGTTCGAATTTTCCTTGCATCACTGGCTGGAAACTGTTTTAACAGTTCTCTCTCTTTAGGGGCCAACTGCCTACGTGCTAACCCGGGAGCAGAGTCACTACCTAATATGGAATCCCTGCAGTGGGCACTGTTATGAACAATTCGATACATTCTGTCCCTTAAAAAGTGTGGGCTGTTTAATAGGTCCCGATAATGTAAGTATGGAGCATTTTCCCTTAAACATGGCTAGCTTTTTTAAACTGATATGCCAGCTTCAATATTTTATGTCAGAAAACACCTGCATGAACACATGCACACATACCAACAGTGACAGGCCCCCAGATATTACGGTCCCATTGTCTTACCACAGTTAAACAAATCCAGCGGCTCATTCTCTCTTTGCTTCCTCTTCTTTTCTTATGGCATGTGACAAGACTAATCTCATGAAAAGAATGCTTTCCTCCCAGTGGTTTACTGATAAACTGTTTACTTGCAGCAATTACCTCCTAAGTTTCTTTCAGGAGCTCCTACACCCCTTAAAGGGAGATGTTCTGTTCTGCCACCCCCAGATTTCAGTGGTTGTTTATTGTGGCTGCAGCAGAGAAACCCTAACTGTGTCTGTCATTAGCTAGGAGTGACCCCAGCACAGCCAGACGGATGTGGCCTCCAAACAAAAGTGAAACTAGTTGTGGGCTGGAGAGACAGTACAGTGGAGAGCGTGCTTGCCCTGCATGCGGCAGACTTGGGTTAGATCCTGGGCACCCCTTACTCCTCCAAGACCTGCCAGAAGTGATCCCTGGGTACAGGGCCAGGAATAAGACCTCAGCACTGCTCAGTATGCACCCGAACGACAGGTATGAACACTAACTCTGTCATTGGCTATAAATCTCTAAGCCTTACATTTCCCACACTTGGTTAGACACCCAAGTGATTTATTTGGGTCTCAAACTCCATGTACCCAAAGCTCAAAGGACTCTTCCCACCAGCCTGCCCACCAGCTCACCTCCTAGTTTATTTCTATGAATTTTACACACTCAGGTTCAAACCTCAGAAATGTCCTTGAGGGGCCGCAGCGATAGTACAGTGGGGAGGGTCTTTGGTTTGCATGCAGCTGACCCAGGTTCGATCCCTGGCATCCTATTTGGTCCCCCAAGCACCGCTAGGAGTGATTCCTGAGTGCAGAGCCAGATGTAATCCCTAAGCAATGCCATTTGTGACAAAGGAAGGAAGGAAAGAAGGAAGGAAGGAAGGAAGGAAGGGAGGGAGGGAGGGAGGGAGGGAGGGAGGGAGGGAGGGAGGGAGGGAGGGAGGGAGGGAGGGAGGAAGGAAGGAAGGAAGGAAGGAAGGAAGGATGAACTAAAGGAGCAAGAACGGAAGAGGGAAGGAGAAAGAAGGAAGAGTGGAAAGGAGGGAGGAAGGAGGGATGGAAGAGAGGTAGGAAGGGAGAGAGGAAGGAAGGAAGAAGGGAAGGAAGGAAGGAAAGAAAGAAAGAAAGAAAGAAAGAAAGAGGATTTCCCCTTGATTTCCCCTCTCTCACTTCCTCCCCTCCCTGCTGTCCTTGTTCACATGGCCTTCATATCAACAGCCTCCAGATTATCCAGTTTATTATTTGCTTTGAGCTGCCTGATCAAGTTTCTCAATGATCAGCTTTCACTATTCTGTGATTTACAAAGCAGTGGGCCTTTCCCTGCACGAGAATCTCAGAACGTCCCACTTTGGATTCAGCGTCCTGTGGAGCCTGACCAGGGCTCCTTCCAGCACTGGATCCGGCTGCTTCGGGCTCTCCTCTCCTTCTCCCCCTCTCCCTCTCTCTTTCTCCCTCCCTCTTCTCTCTCCACTGCCTGTCCTCTCTCTGTCTCCCTTCTCTCTGTCTCTCTCTCGCTGCTCAGCTCTGTCTCTCTGAATCTGTCTCTCTCTCTCTTTCCAGCACTGGATCCCGCTGCCCAGCTCTCTGTCTGTCTGTCTCTTTCTCTGTCTTTCTCTCTCTCATTGTTGGCCAGCACTGCTCGGGGGTTACTCCTGGCTCTGCACTCAGAAATCACTTCTTGTGGTGTTCAGGGGACCATATGATGATGGGGATTGAACCCGAGTCAGCGTGTGCAAGGCAGGCATCCTGCCTGCTATAGTATCTGTCCAGTTCCCCCATTTTCTTCTTTTTCTCACCCTTTTCTTTGTTAAAAAAAAAAAAAAAAGAAAAGAAAAACTCCTTTGCTTTTTTTTTTTTTGAAGGGGCAGGGGTCAGAGGGTGCTTACCAGGTGGTGCTCAGGACTTATTCCTGGCTCGGTATTCCAGGGTCACTGCTGACAGTGCTCAGTCGTCCATATGTGCCACCAAGAGACCACACCAGGGTCAGCTGCATGCAAGACAAGTGCATCCGTTCTACTCTTGGGCCTGACCCGGCCTTCTCAAAGCAGCTTCCTGATGTCAAGTCATCACGGCTACTTCCCATGCTGGTCACCACTTCTCTGAAACCTTTTGCTGTTTTTCCCTTATTTTGCCAAATCTGAAAATCATTGATCCTCAAAAGGCATATTCACCTAAGCTCTGTTCTATATATGTTTCTAGAAATATGCAAAAATTGATCACTCCCAAAATGTGTATATAACTTTACATATTATATGTAAATACACACACACACACATGCACATGCACACACTGAAATATCTGCTTCCTCAATATCTTTATCTGGATATCAGATAGCTTCAGGCCCAAACTCCTGGCCTCCTTCAGGAGCATTTCTGAGCCTAAGAAATAGCTCCATCATCCAATTAGTCAGGCCAAATGCTTGGAACGAGCCAACTGAGGATGTGGTTCCATAATAAACACACATCTTGCGCATACTGGACCTGATTCAATCCCCAGCCCTGTAAATCAATCAACCAACCAATAAACAAAACCTGTAGGTCTGGGCCAGGGATGAGCACAGTAGGAGAGAATTTGCCTTGCCTGTGTGACAGTGTTTAATCCCGGGCACTGGGAGGGAAAACGAACGCCCCGTAACAGCCTTGGGAGTCACCTCTTAATTACTTTCTCTTCCTCCATCCTCTCTGCGAATCCTATCGCTCTCCCTGTCAGAGGAAACCCACCGACCACACACTGCCACCTTCACATGCCACTCGGCACCAGACGCCTACGTTAGTCACAGCAGCCCGAGTGAAAACCGCGTCTTGCCGCTACGCATTTTTGTCTAGTCTCAAACTAGTAATAAAAATAATCCTAATTAAACGGGAGGGAAGCCAAAAGGAAACAAGGCAGGCAGAAACTGATGAAGGTACCCCTCCAGGGAAAGGGCTTCACACAGGGAAAAGAGAAGTGGGCAGTTCACGTGAGGCCAAGCACACCAAGGCCCAGCCAAGACTGTGGATGCTCTGGAGTGAGAAGTGAGAAATGATGTCACTGGGACAAGACAGGGGCATTTTAAAGATTTAGGCTTGTCAAGTGAGTAAGGAGCCACTGGGGTACATTGGACACGTAAGATAATGACCCGGCTTCCCTTCCATTTAAATAGGTTTGTTTCTGGCTAGGGTTGTTCTGCTGCTTCTCTCTCCAATCAAGTGTGTGCGCGTGTGCACACACGTGCGCACGCGCACGCGCACACACACGCACACACACACGCACACGCACGCAAGCACACGCAACAATATGTGCTAACCTAACCAAATTTTGTTTTCTTTTAGATTTGGTTTAATATCCAACGGTATGATTCCCCACTAAGGATAAATTTTGATGTCACCAGGCCCAAGTTATGGAAATCTTTCTTTTCAAGAAGCTTCCCGTATCCCGGCCTTTCCAGTGTTCAGGTAGGATTATTTTATAGATAAATGTACACAAAGAAGGCCGGAGATCTTAAGTTTGTATGAGAGAGCTGGTTATTCTTTTGAGACTTAATTCTCTTCTTAAATACCTCATCTGAGTCTTTTAGATTACTTCATCTACAGTTACATTTGGCTTTCACAGATAGTTGAGCTCACCTTAATGTAAGAAAAAACACTGTTAATTATGACCCCGTGTATGCATCTATAAAAGAAAACTTGGACACGAGGAGTCCCATGACATAAAGAGTCCTGTATTTAGGGGCTGGAGAAACAGTGCAGTAGACAAGGAGCTCGCCCCAAGACAGCTCACCTGGGTTTGATCCCCAGCATGCATGGCACGTGTCCCCAGCCCGACCACAAGTGATCCCGGAGCCCAGAGCAAGGAGTGAGCCCTTAGCACAGTTGGGGGTGGCCCAAAAACCAAAGAGTAAGTACTGGACTTAATATCTTACCAGGTGTTCCCAACTCACTGAATTAATGTTACCATTGCTTTCAAAGCAAATTAGACTGTGGGAAAGTACCACAGAGGTGCAGTTCTTAGACCTAAGTAGTAAGCATGTTTACAGTTTACTAAAACTTGGTTCAACTGACACCATCATCTATTAGTGTGTTCCGGGTGCAGAATATAAACTATGCTTTTCCCCGTGGGTCACGCCTGGGGGGTAGAGTGGTGGTGGAACGCGGGCCTAGAACGCGCCAAGCCTGAGCGCAATCTTGGGCTCTGCAGCATCACGGGGTACGGCCCGGATGGTCCTCAATGGCCTCAAGGAGTAACGGAGGGCGTGGCCCCTATTTAAACTAAGGATTTAAACATACTGCCCTATCAAAACTCTCCCATGCATACCAGGTGGCACATACAAGATTCCCTTCCCCCTGGAAATACAGTGTGCAGTTCACAGCCCAAGGACTGGAACAGTGGAAACACTCTGGCACACAGTGGAAGATTTTCTAGTAACAAAATTGAATAAATATTAATCTTCGTAGGCACTCTAAAAATCCTTACTGCCTCTAAATATATTGTTTGGGAATATGTGTAGTGAAATCAAAACATGTTATGTTAATTTGCTTGTCTCCACTGTCATACACACACACACACACACACATACACACACATACACACACACACATACACACACATACACACACACACACACGTGTCAGGGCTTTACTTACAATTCCCCATCACCTGTGAAAGTGCTTGGCACATAGTAGGCATTCAATCTGTATTGAAAGAGTGCTAAAAAAGAAATTCAGCATAGCTATTTTCATTGCAAGAGAAAGGAAATGAAATTGAGAATGACACAGCACAGGAATTGTGATACTGAAGGTGAATCACGAGTACACTGGCATCTTCTACTAATATTCTGTCTGATTGAGTGCTTGAAGCTTCATGTTTTTTTCCCAAGATTTTTGAACTGACTCACTGTGAGCTAGACCCCTACATAGCTGTTCATGATTGGATTCCAGTTCTACAGTATTCCAACACCCATCCTCTACCAGTGTCCATTTCCCAGCACCAGTGTCCCCAGGTTCCCTCCCATCACCCCCGACCCCACCTCTAGCCTGCCTCTATGACAGGCTGGCAGGCACTTCCTCCCTCTCCCCCTCCTTCCATTCCTCCCCCACCCTCCTTGTTTGTAATTCTGAAAGGTTATTGTGCATATCCCTTTATCTACTTTTAACACTCATTTCATGTCCAGTATGATCATTTCCAACTATTATTGTTATCCTGGTCCCTTCTCTATCTTATCTATCCTCCACCCCCACACACTTGTGGTAGACTCCAACCCTGACCAGTCCTCCTAGCCCATGTTTTCCCTGACCTTGGATATGAATCTTCTACTATGTTTTTTATATGCCACAAATGAATGCAGTCATTCTATATCTGTCCCTCTCTTTCTGACTCATTTCACTCACCAGAAGACTCATCATTTAAAAAACTGATTTAGAAAACAGTGTACAGCTATCAGAACTGTGTGCTGGTGATTTCCGGAATGCCTGAATTATTTTTCCTTTTACAGCCAGAAGAGCTCATTTACCAACGCACGGATAAAGCAGCTGCAGCTGAGCTCCAGGACAGGTCACGTGACACACCTAAATCCACCCATAATCTGCCACTACTAGCCTAAGACTAAGCTATTCTGAGTCCGGATCAATGTGAAATAACTGGGGCAATTAAACTTTAATTTGTGTTTATAGATCCCAGGAGCAGAAGTGATCTCTAAATCCCACGGCCCTCAAGGAAGCTTTGGCTCCAGAGGGTGTGGCCAGCGCCCGCGGGGCATGGCCAACAGCTGGCCTCTGACAGAACTCAGCATCATGGCCTGTCCAGGCATGGCAGAATCCTCAGCCTAAATAGGCCTCTTTTGTCCAGTTAGTGGCTTGAAAGAACTTCAGCTGGTTTTAAACGCAGAAAAGGCTGCCATGAACCTACTGGAATCCTCATAGTACTTAATCCCCGTTTCCGAAATGGGGAAACTGAGTCTCAGATACTTGTTGAGTGATGGGGGGAGGGTGCTTTTCTGACTGAAAAGCTTACACATCCCCTCTCTGGTATCAACGTGTCAAATGACATGATTAAACCCCTTTTAAGGGGCTGGAGCGATAGCATAGCGAGTAGGGCATTTGCCTTGCACACACCTGACGCAGGTTCGATTCCCAGCATCCCATACGGTCCCCCGAGCACTGCCGGGAGTAATTCCTGAGTACAGAGCCAGGAGTAACCCAAACAGAAAAAAAAATAGAATCCTCCTCAAATACCAAATACTTTTGTTTCTTTTAATATATTTAAAATACTAATGATAGCACAGTGGTAGGGCGTTTGCCTTGCGCGCAGCCGGCCCGGCCAAGCCTGGTTCGATTCCTCTGCCCCTCTCGGAGAGCAAGCTACTGAGAGTATCTCGCCAGCACGGCAAAGCCTGGCAAGCTACCTGTGGCATATTCAATATGCCAAACGCAGTAACAAGTCTCACGATGGAGATGTTACTGAGCCCGCTTGAGCAAATCAATGAACAACGGGAGGACAGTGCTACAGTGCTACTATTTTTTAGACTCATGCCATTTATTTTTCTAGCACAAAGTAATTCCTAAGATCTTTCTCGCTTAGAGTATCTTGAAACCCCAAGCAAAGATGCAGGGCCCTGAACCTCTGCATGTTTTAGGAGGAACGTACAAGAGGTGCTAGAAGGCTTTCTGTTATTGTCAAGTCGGTTGTATCCTATTGTCCCCTCAAAAATAAACCCAGAACAGCCTCCCCCTTCATAGGGCTTATTAGGATTAAAGAAACAAAATGTGTAAGATGCACTGAGCACAGTATCTAGCAAATACAGTCTCAGTAAATAGTATCTACTTCCTTCAGTCTATGATTAAGTCTCAGATCTGTGGACCCAGTACTTTCATATACACTATAAAGCAGGACATCACAAATTAAGTTGCCCTGTACTGCACTGCACTGTCCTCCCATTATTGTTCTTCAACCTGCTCGAGCAGGCCCAGTAACATCTCCATTTTGAGATTTGTTGTTATTGTGTTTGGCATATTGAATACATCACGGGGAGCTTGCCAGGCTCTGCCTGACGGGCGAGATGATGCATATTCTAAAGGTATTTTTAAGGTAATGTAGAATAATCCTCACAAATAGAAATCACTGGTGTAGGAACTGTGTAAGACCGACAGTCCTAAGGATTTCAAACTCAGCACTAACGGACTGTATCTGTATCCAAAAAAGGTCATAAAATCATTCTTCGAAAACCCTTGGCTAAATACTCAATTTACTGCTCAGTTTCAGGGTTCACTTTTGTAGGAGCATTCCAAGCATCTGCTGTGCCCTCTAGAATATGTTTCAGTTCACAGGTCTACTCCCAGCCTCAGCAGGATAACCTTTAAGGATACCTGAGTCTATTTTTCAATCCCCAGGAAATAGTTTGTGTTTGGTACTAATCACACCTAGTGATTGGTAACTGCTCACTAAAATGTAGGCAAGTATTCACCTAAATCCCCAAACTGTACTTTTCTTTCTTTCTTTCTTTTTTGCTTTTTGGGCCACACCCACCGATGCTCAGGGGTTACTCCTGGCTCATGCACCCAGTAATTACTCCTGGCAGTGCTCAGGGGACCGTATGGGATGCTGGGAGCTGCACAATGCAGGTCGGCCGTCTGCAAGGCAAACTGTTGTGCTATTGCCCCAGCCCCCCCAAACTGTACTTTTCCTTATGAAGGAAAAGCAAAACATAAGTAAGAATTGCAATTTTTTTTAAAATGAACAGGGTTGAAAAAATACTAAAGGAGAAGATCATGGACTGGAGGCCCCGGCACCTGACGCGGTGGAACAGGTACTGCACCTCCACGCTGCGCCACTTCCTGCCCCTGCTGGAGAAGAGCCACGGGGAGGACGTGGAGGACGAGCACCGGGCCGAGCTGCTGCGGCAGCTGGGCGACTACAGGGTGAGCACTGGCTCGCGGGGCGGGGGTCCCTCAGGCACACCTTCTGTGAGTCTCAACACCGACACTGTTCCCCCAAGTACACAGAGGAAACGTCAGATCCTAACCAGTGATTCAAGTTCAAATTTCAGTAATTGACAACATAGCAAAATGCCTCTCTACAATTAAAAAAAAAAAATCAAGCATCCGGTGAAAAATTTTTATAAAACAACATCCCAAGTATGAGGAAAATGAAAACCCGTGGCTAACTCCTGGGAGATTCGGTGGTCTGCAAAGTTGAAACCAACCACAAGAAAGTATAAGGCTTTGGAAAAGGACAGGACTTTATACTAATTACTTCCCATTGCCAAGAAAAATCCCCATTATTGCCAAGTTCTATGACCTGCTATTAAGTGTTCATGTCCTTTACCAGACTGACATACAGAAAACAGCCCGAAACTCTGCCAGTTAAGCCTTGCTGGAGCAAGTGGAAGTTGGACATTTCACCGTATTCACTACAACTGATTTAACATCTAAAGCCAGGTGTTAGGAGGAACGTATTCAAGCACCAGAAACAGAAGCGTGAGCGGGAAGGAAGGACGTTATCCTAAGGCCCCTAGACGAAGATGAGGATGCGCAGGGGCTGGACACCCTCCTGGTCTGCCAGGCGGTGGCTGCTCATCTCCTAGCAGCGAGGGGCTGGGCTGGTCCCTGAGGCCCGCCCATCTGCACACACCGGGCGCGAAGCAACGGAGTGCATGCGTGCCAATATTCCTGGCACGTCTCTAGGGACTCAGTGTTTTCACGCCAGTAAGAGGGTCCATTGTCTGGGTCCCTGGAATTTCACGGGTTACTGTGCACATTCGAGGGGCAGGGACTGGGGGTGGGGGTGGCCAGGTGTCCTATGCTAGCCGCCGAGAGGTGTTCGGCCCCTCTCCATTTTCTGTATTGCTGGTAAGTGAAAAGAAAAACATATCTCAATGGCTTTGAGATTCAGGTTTAAACAAGAATATCAAGAACTGCACAGTTTGTGCGAAAAAAATACGAAGTCTTCGCTATGCAGTCGAGGCCTATAAATGTCCTTCTCTTTCAGTTCTCAGGATTCCCCCTTCATATGGCCTACTCGGACATGAAGCCATTGGTGGAAGCCGTGTACAGCACCGGAGTCCACAACACTGACCTTCCCAACGTGGAATTCGCCTTAGCTGTGTATATTCACCCCTACCCCAGAAATGTGCTATCTGTTTGGATCTATGTTGCCTCCCTTGTACGCAACAGATAGTATTTTCACAGTACTTTTCATATCATGCAGAAATTGTAATCAGGATGAGATACTTTGATTTTTTCATATTTTTGCTGCCTTATCACGGGTTTACAATATCATGGAATTACAATATCATGGAATTTGAGGTCATTGTTACCACTCCCAACAGCCCAGTTCCAGTGTCACCCCATGAAATACTACCCATAAAATACCTCTCTCCTCATTCCCCTCCCTTCCCCCAGGAAACCACTGTTTACAGCGTCTAGGGCTGACTTTTATGTACTGGCCAGTTGTTTTTGTACAATTAGAACACGAATACAACATGAGCGAGCCTCTCCATGCTTGTCTTTCACTTCCTTATTTTACCCAGCATTATCACCTCTGCATCCCCTTCTGCAGGGCAGTGTTCCTCTGAATGTACGGATCACCGTTGCTTGAGTTTCCTACCAGTAGGCGCGCAGCGTGGGTCCACGTCTTGGCTATCGTGAATAATGTTGCTATGAACTTGGGACTATCAATAGCTCTTCATTAGTGTCTTCAGAATGTGTGAAAAATTTTAATTGATAAAGATCAGAAGGGAGAAAATGTTATTTTCAAATAATGACATTAAAATATCATTATTTTTTAAATGGCACAGTGTCTTAGTCCGCCTGTGTGTGTCTCTTGGGCCCTCGAATCCCGTGGTTTCCATCATCTAGGAGCTTCTGTCCGGCTCCCCTTCTCCTCGGAATGCCTGTGCCTAGCCAACAGAGTAGTGACCTCACTTTTAAGACCCCGCAAAAAAGCAACTTTTCTGAAGAAACGCATCTGCTAATTAAATACCTCCATAGACCTCATCCTATAAAAATAATTAAGCATACACTAATGAACACGTGTGTGTGCACACATGCGGGCGCGCACACACACACAGTAAAGCAATATATTTTACTTGGGAAACAAGGAATGTATTTCAAGATTCATCAAAATAGGAAAGAGGTGGGGGTTGGACGGTGTGATGGGAGGGAACCTGGGGATACTGGTGCTGGGAAATGTACACTGGTGGAGGGATGGGTGTTGGAACACTGTAGGACTGTAACATAATCATGAACAGCGGCTTTGTAAGGGTCTATCTCACAGTGAGTCAATAAAAAAAAAATTTAAGAATGAAGGAAGTAGTGGAAAAAAAAAATCAACCAGAATTTAGGGCACTGCTATGGAAATAAAATAATTGCAAAAGAGTCCACCTACGAAACTAAAACTTCTGACTCTGTAACTACTCACTAAACTCAGATTTCAAGTTCTTACTGTTTCTTGTGTTTGCAGATGGGCGGGCCTCAGGGACCAGCCCAGCCTCCTTGCTGCTAGGAGATGAGCAGCCACCGCCTGGAGGCCAAGATTTCTCTTGTTTTTTTTTTGTTTTTTTACTTTTTTGGGTCACACCTGGCGATGCTCAGGGGTTACTCCCAGTTCATGCACTCAGGAACTACTCCTGGCCGTTCTCAGGGGACCATACGGAATGCTGGGGATCAAACCCAGGTCGGGCCGTGTGCAAGGCAAACACCCTACCCTCTGTGCTATCACTCCAGCCCCAGGATTTCTCTTGTTGATGAACACTTTCTCTTCCACAGCCAGCCTTAGATGTACTTACTAAAAAAGAAAAAAAAAATAAACAAACAAAAAAAAAACATACTGCCCACTCTTTTCTTCTCCATGACAACAAAAATAAACCCCCATTGCGCCTTTTAAAATGGTAGGTCGCCATCCTCATTATCTTTTCACACAGCAATAGAGCTGCGCTTACCAATTCAACCCATGACCACTGCATAATCAATTTCAAAAAGGCAACCAACTCAAAGGTATGAGGTCTCTCAAACCTCACGGTGCTCAAAACAACGTATTTCATCCTACTCCAAAACCTGCACTGAAGTGTGTAATGAAATCAAAACACAGAAGAAATTACTTGATAAAGTCCTCAAAGTAGATTTTATTTATACATTTCTTCAAATGATTGTGAATTTTTTTAAAGCCCTGCCCCCCAAATTTGACAATTTAGGGACAGTAGAGGGAAGCAGGGAATCTCTGAAGAAGCAAAGACAAATACACGGTGCGTCGGAGCTCACTGAGCTCACACCAGGAAGCCAATTTATTCTGGAATCTTAAGAGAATCTTCGATGGGTATGTCTGAATTGGCCCTCAGATTTGTTAAAGGAAACATGGGGGAAAAAAAAGACTGGTTTCCAAAATGTGCAACTCTTTAAAATAAGACTTTAAAAATGTTATGTCTGAAAAGGTCTGCAAAGCTGGTAAGAGTGTTCTATAAAGAGAACCAATAACCCCGTTAATTTTAAAAACCAAGATAACCTTCAAAGTACGTTAAGTAGCACAGTATTAGTGACATTCTTTTTTTTTTTGTTTGTTTGTTTTGCTTTTTCGGTTGTACCCAGCGATGCACAGGGGTAACTCCTGGCTCTGTACTCAGGAATCACTCCTGGTGGTGCTGGGGGACCATATGGGTTCCTGGGAATCAAACCCGGGTTGGCCGCGTGCAAGGCAAAAGCCCTACCCGCTGTGCTATCACTCCAGCCCCATAGTGACACTCTTTCACAATTCAATTTCAAAGAAACATAGTGAGACTGCTCTTAACTCTCAACCTTTGTGAAAAGAAGAACTATTCCCTTTCTCAAACAAAAATATGATTTGCAAGAAAAGACAACACTGTAGAATTCACTGGCAAAAATGAAGATTTGGGGGGTTGCGAGAGTTGGGGCCAAAACAAGTCACAATCAAAAAGGGATGGTTAACAGAAGACCTGTGCTGTAAGTAAAGTGCATGAAAGGAAGCCTGCTCAGCTAAATGAAGTAGACGAAGGTCTACTTTGTAGTAGTAGTAGTAGTAGAAGTCAAGAGTCATTCGCCAGAGCGGCAGCAGGCTCGAAAACCACACTGCAAATTCTGGCATCCACTGGCTGTGTCGGCGTGAGGACCTGTATGAAAACAGATAAGTGTGAAAGCGGGCATTTCCCAGAGAGCACATAAAACTCATCGTGCCTACGAAAGAACCTTTAAAACATCATTTACCTGTATCAACAATCCATTGATAACATGAAAAGAAAATCTCACTGAAGTATATAAAAAGTATCCAGACACAAATATTACCATTAACTTCTTGACTTTAACACATCTCGTGGTCCAAACGGTAAGTGAAAGGAGGATTTTTATAAAAATCAAAGAAAAAGATATCCATAGAAGCAGAACTTAAAGGCTACGTTAACAGATTTCATCCTATACTCTGAACACCCTTTCTAGAAATATGATGGTGCAAAAACAGTCCTACTCAACATAGATATGCTAAAATTCCAATATCGACATTGCAATATATAGTAAATTCAAAAAATGTAAAAAACTACACAGACATGAAAAAATCCTTACTGTATTTTTAGCATCTACTGCTAAGATAATCATATGGTAGGATTAAGTGAATTTACCTTCCAAATTAAGTATATGATGAGTAAACACATCAAGAAAATAAAAATTATGATTCAACTACCAAAAAAATGAGTATCACACATCTGTGGAATCACAGATATTTAATCCCACATAGTAGACAGCTACCTGATGCCATTAGGGAACATACCTGAGAATTACAAAGTGTGAAAGAAAGGTACCATGACATGTGTTCAAATTTTAAATACTTTGAATGAAGCACAGTTTTCACAAAGTAGAACACAAAAAGGAATATTTTCACTAGATAGGAGGAACATTTCAAAATGCTTGCAGCATGAACAAACAAATACTCATACATCACTTGATGATGATTATGTGGTCTGCCAAAGTTGTTATTAGGCAACTTCATCATGGTCTGAATGTCATGGGGTGTAAACATATAAACCAAGACAGTATAAGCTACTACACATCTGGCCAAGCACATACAGTCCCTCACTGACGGAACATCGTGTGATACAGGCCTGCAGAGCAGCTGTTTACTCATCAACCAGAAAATACTTGCAACTGTAATATGTAAGGATCATACAAAGAAATACAAGATAATTTTACCGTAGGATGTATAAAATGAATAACTGGGGGGGAAAAAACCCAACAATACTCTGGACTGATAGCAAATTTATCTGAGGTGCAAACTTTTCAATTTGCTTTGTTTTAAACAGACCATTGCAAAAGAAGGCAATTTTTCTAATACCAACAGGAGAAAATAACTACCTGTACGTGGACAGAGGAATACACACCTATTTTCCAGAATTTAACTTTTTTCAGTTTCCCCCAAATGGCATATTCAAAATACAGAGGTCAAATTTCTTAGTAAATACAACCAATTAAACATTATAATGTTCATATATTTCAGTATGAAAATGATAATGTATCTGTAAGAAGACAAACTTTACAAGCATGTGTAGAATTTCAATAACTTTATTTAATACTGAATACTATGTTTAGGGCTGAAGCGATAGCACAGCGGAAGGGCATTTGCCTTGTGCACAGCCTGCCCAGTCAAGCTGGGTTGATTCTTCCGCCCCTCTCGGTGAGCCCGGCAAGCTACCCATGATGTATTCAAAATGCCAAACACAGTAACAAGTCTCACAATGGAGACATTACTGGGCCCGCTGGAGCAAATCGATGAACAACGGGAGGACAGTGCTACCACAGTGAATACTATATTTAATATTAAAATTGATATAATACCTTGGAAGAAAACTGGGTTGAAGTACCTAAATACAAAATGCTAAATGAAAGATGACTGAATATGTTCATAAATGAAGTCAGTTATAATGACTTTGATCATGAACAATACATGAGGATTCACTTCTATGTTTTGTAACAAAAAAATCTGTCACAAAAGCTGAAACTGAAAAAAAGTTAAAATTACCACAAGCCTATCTTTATTTAATCAAAATTAAAATACGTTCTCTTTTTAAAATGAAAAACTGGTCAAATATTTCAAATGTCAAATGAAATTCACACACCATTAGGATCATTTTTCCTTAAAAGAAGGCAAAATGTCATCTTAAGCACTGTAGCACTGTCCTCCCATTGTTCATTGATTTGCTCAAGCGGGCACCAGTAACGTCTCCATTGTGAGACTTGTTACTGTTTTTGGCATATCGAATACATCACGGGCAGCTTGCCAGGCTCTCCAAAAGGGGTGGAGGAATCGAACCCGGGTCCCCAGGTCCAGGTCAGCCGCGTGCAAAGCAATCGCCCTACCCGCTGTGCTATCACTCCAGCCCATCATCTTAAGCACAAAGTCAAAATAAAATTTCTCAGTATGTGAATCCGGGATGGGAAACGCCCTCACAGAGAATCTTATGGCCTGAAACTCTTCTCAACAGGTGACCCTTGATCAGTTTTCCATCTTGACTCGGTGCATCCAAACCCACCCCAAGACTCCTCCTCAGCCTCAGGCTGGTCTCGTAACTGCTTCTCCTGGAACCAAATGGTGACTCACCTCCAAGAAAGACCCTGCTAGTGATGGTTTCAGTCAAAATGGATCTGATAAAAACTCTCCTTGGTATATGATTGCATTCCAAGTTTTTTAAGAGGGGAGAGGAACAGACACATGCAGGTTTTTGTGTAATTTTTCTAAAATTCCCTAAAATACTTCAAAATGTTTCTGTTCCTACTTTTTAAGGGACAGGAAGCTAAGCAAGACATTTTATGCAGAATTCAACAGTGGCCCGGGGAAAGGCTGACAGGGAATGCCTGAGGCAATGAAGTGAAAGCACGCTACGGCTACCAGAAAAGTCAGAGGAGAATGCATGAGTCCAATGGTCACAAAAGCTTCAGAGACTCGGACCTGCCCAAGTAACCGTCCCGTGCCCATTCTCCCACAGGACAGACCCAGCAGCCTGTCTCCAGCCCACCTACAAGGACTGCAGTGGGAGACAAATGCGGGAATCAAATGCGTGCTGTGCTCTGCAGAGAGCACCCGGTCCTGTTGCCCGCCTCTGTCCAAGGCCCTGGAGTCAGTGCAGGCGACCACTGCTTTAAACCGTGATTACTCTCAAGTTGTAGAAACGAGGCAATAGCAACTTTCAAAGCTAGAAATTTTAAGCAATGTTAACAGTGAAATCCTTCAGTTTCACAGAACCCTCCGAATAAGGAAAGAAATTATCAGACTAAACCAACAACAGAAAAAGGAAGTATTAGAAACAAGAAGAATGGCTGGTATTGTGTTTCCAAGCGTCTTAAGTGACAATTATGCTTCCACAGACAACTTAGAACCTAAAAACTCTGTAAAATCTACTTTATCAACAGCAAATGTCCGATCCAATGTAGAAAACAAAAATTACTGTAACATACATGGGCTAAATTATGTTAAATAATAATAAAATTAGAAAATAAAACTTTTACGATGAAATAAAATCTTTATTTTTTATTTTTGGGGGGGGTCACACCCGGTGATGCACAGGGATTACTCCTGGCTCTGCACTCAGGAATTACCCCTGGCGGTGCTCAGGGGACCATATGGGATGCTGGGAATCGAACTCAGGTCGGCCGCAAGCAAGGCAAACGCCCTACCCACTGTGCTATGGCTCCAGCCCTAAAATAAAGTCTTTAAATTTCAAGATAAACGATGAATTTTATAAGCATTAAAAAATGTTAGATAAAACACCCATATTGTTAGATATTTTTCTAAATTGTTGTTACTAAATGTTTTTCCTGAACTTTATGCATATTATGTCATATATCAGCACTTACCTTCACTTACCTTCCATTCCTCTTTAACTTAAATTAGAAACAAGAGAGCAAATAACCTGAGACTGTATCGCCTTCAGAAAGAACTCTGAGCTAGCCTATTTCAATTCATAAATTATACATACAATGAACTGGAAATCAGAACAGAAAGTGTGCTATCATGTTCTAAACTATTCAACTTTCATTCAACATTTCTTATATGTAAAGAATTTTTAGTAATCATGGCTTTCTTTTATAACCAAAACCTTACTAACCAAAACACAAATTTAAATGTCAAAATATCTTTAAGAGAGTCAAAACTGGCATATTACAACCGGCGCATAGTATGTTATCTTATTTGCAGCAAATACTGTTTAAGTATCTGATCAGTAACTTATCTTCTCTAACACCTCTCCCACTAAATCTCTTCTTATTTAATATTAACTACGTTGTTCATCAGTGATCCACCTCCTTTAGTTGCTACCCTGGTAGAACCTACATAAATCTTTAAATAAAATTCATTTAGTTACCTTTAGTTAACTATTACTATCAAATATTTAAAACCTAATTTCTTACCCAAATATGCATGCCTTAATAATCTAAGACCATGTACAAACATAGTAACTAAGTTCAGAAATAATGAAAGTAACAAAGGTCTCTAAGCCATCATTATCACTGTACAAACTGAGTCATAATGAAAGACACCAGACTGGAGCAATCACAGCATCCTGCAAAATGAAGCCTTAACACTTTCTAGGTGATTCTTACGTCCTTTTTATTAGAGAGAGGGGGGGGGGGGGGAGAGAGAGAGAGAGCGTATTAGAGCACTACTTCAAGAGTAACTGGCTATAACTCTGAATTCCAAATTAATATGTCACCTGTATACTTTAAAGGACCCCCATTAATGCAAAAATGTTGAAAGATGCTATAAAATGAAGACTGAATATTGGATTATATAAGCAGTCTCTATTTCCCTAAGTCCTTCAAAATGAGATATCTTCCTTAACCCTCATTTACTGAGGTTCATGGAAATAGAGTTCCACACATCCCCCAAGCACCACCAGGAGTAACATCTGAGCACTGTGCCAGGAATACCCTCTGAGCATCATCAGATATAACCCCAAAACAAAAATCAAAATATTGGGGCTGGAGTGATAGCACAGTGGGTAGGGCGTTTGCCTTGCACGCAGCCAACATGACTGACACAGGTTCGATTCCCAGCACCCCATATGGTCCCCTGAGCACCGCCAGGAGCAATTCCTGAGTGCAGGAGCCAGGAGTAACCCCTGAGTATCGGCGGGTGTGACCCAAAAAGGAAAAAAAAAAATCAAAATATTCACTTATTGAAAATTACCACTCATTTATAAAAGGAGAGAAAGCATTTGGCTTTCAACACAGGCATGCAAACAGTTCCCTCTGGAATAGTTTGATATCTATGTATCTAACAATAGTTTATAAACTCGAACATGCTTGTAACAGAGTACAAAGTATTTTAAGTATTTTTCTGTTTGCTTTTTGGGCCATGCCCAGCAGCGCTCAGGGACTGTGCCAGCTCTGTGCCGGGGATGCCACGTGCCTCTGCCGGACTCCCAGAGACTCAGGATCCATCTCACCATCTAAATAATTTGAATAAGTTTGACAAATGTATAAAAACAAAACGGTGAACTAAAACCCAACCTCTCTCAGCCTATAACATCTATACACCCCAAATTAAAGACAACAAGGTAACTGTGAGATTTAGTTCCACAAGCACAACTCATGATTAAATCAATATGGGCAATTAAAGTACGATTCAAAATATTTTTTCATATTAAAAAAACCCATTTTAAGGTTACTTTTCATAATAGATTCTACGCCTCGGGAAAGACAACACTGAATCCACAATGACAGAGCTACAGTGGGAAGTGTGCGCTCTCAAACTCACTCCATCTGGAAAGAAAGCAGAGGCCTGTTGAGGCCATCGCTCTAGATACACGCCAACCAGCTCCACATCCCTTTCTTGGCATCTCAGAGCAAAGAAATCCTCTCTATGTTCCTGTTTCAACATGATAGCCCCGGTGGGATTCCTTGCACGGGAGACTCCCACCGCCTGCTCCTTCAGGGAAGAAAGACTCCTCTCCAGCAAAGAGCAGCTTGCTGACTTCCTGACTCCTGTCAACCATTGGGCCTCACACTCAACTGCTCCCATCCTCATATTAAGATAAACGGGGCTATCAAAGACAACCAGCTAGGACTGGTACCAAAAGTAAGGGCATAATAGAACCTGGACAATCTGAACTCTTTTCAGTTTCAAATACAGGAGATTTACTTATTCACTACTGACAACAGCATTTTAGGAAACAAAAAAGGGAAAAAAAAAATCTGAAAATGTCAGTCTTTCCCAGTGATTATCAGATACTCCAAAGGACAGTGAATGGACTTTGAAGCAGCAAAGTAGCACGCTCAAGAGGTCCAGGTTGAAGATGCCAAAACGAAATGAAACAGACCCAGGCACCCTGAGGAACCCGCATTATCTGAGTCCTGCTTCTAATGTGTTCAAACAGTTGGCCTACAAGAAGAACTAAGTCCACCAGTCCTAAGAAATCAGTGTATCCTGAACGCAATACCTCTCAATTGGTCTGAGTGTTACAACACTCTGGTGGAATTTCCCAATTCTTCCTAAGACTTACTATTTCTACAACTTGCCATTTTGAAATGATTGAAACTGCAACCTAGCTCAAAAATCTGGTAGAAAGAGTAACTGAAATATCTCTGTGGCAGAAAAACTCACCTTTGAAGAATTAATGCAACAAATGACTTTTGGGGGTGGTTTTTGGGACATGCCCAGCAGAGCTCAGGACTTCCTACCCCTGACTCCACGTGCAGGGTCACTCCTGGCCTTGCTCGAGGGCCCAGAAGTGGTGCCATGGATCGAACCCCAAAAGGACACATGCAAGGCAAGCGCTTTATCCGCCATACTGTCTCTCCAGCCCAGAAATGTCATTTTTAAAATTTTATAAATTGTGAAAGACTATAAGTTTAGGAACCAGAAATCTAGAAAACAAAATAAAAATCTAAGAATTAACAGAACTGTCAGGATTTTTAAGTCAATTCCCTCATTTTCGCATACTAAAAGGTATTACCGTTAATGTTGTCACAGTAGTAGAAATATTCATCATTTAGAGAAGGACATGCTGAAACCAAATCCTGTAGGCCGGCGCCAGTTACAGTAAGACAACCGGAGAGATTAAGGTGCTCCAAATAAGGCAGCCCTCCTCTCAGAGTCAAAACCCTGTAAGAGAAGCAATGGAACAATTAGAATTACAATCAGAACAGCTCAACCTTATGGAAACCTGCGTGTTCCTACAGCTCGATGGGTGTCTGTCGACAGACCAACCTCGCGATTTGAAAATAAAAAATATTTTAATTCCTTATTAAACTCAACGATATAAAACAGCCTACGGGGGCCGAGGAGACAGTCCAGAGGGTAAGGTGCTTGCCTTGCATGCAGCTGATTGGGGTTCAACTCCTGACAACCCCACATGGTCTCCTGAGCCAGCCAGGAGTGATCCCTGAAGAAGTGCAGAGTAAGGCCCCAAACCACAACAAAAGATAAACTAGGCTTTAGTACACTCTGTCGTAAGCTCTGAGATTCATATAAAACAAAAGCGGCAGGTATGCAGGTGGCCTTTCCCAGGACCACAGGGTTCTACAGTGGACCAGTCATCCCCTGTGTGACTGAGTCCTGCTCTACTGGCCCACATCCTCAGGTCCCTTGAACACTGCGTGAGAGATCCATTTAAAAAAGAACATGATCTTGGGCTGGACAGATAATACAGGAGGTAAGGTGCTTGCCTGGCACGGAGTTAACCTGATTAGAACCCTAAGTACAACACATCCCTGAGCCCCAAGATTTACTCTGAAGCACAGAGCCAGCAGCTGTCCTGAGCACCAAAGTGTGGCTCCAAACACCAAATCAATAATGAAATATATATATATATACCAAAAATCTAACTGAACACCCTAGGGAATTGGGGGGAGGGACAAATCCAACGTAAGCAGAAGAAAATAAAAACCGAAACAGTAAAATAAACATTTTTTGAAATAGAGAATGCAAAAAATGAGAGAGAGGAAATCAACAAAACCAAAACTTGGTTCCTCGATATCAACAAATTTGGCAAATCCTTGGCTGAACAATGACGCAAAGTGGAGCCAGAGAGCCAGTACAGCAGGCACAGCGCTCGCCACACGTGCAGCTGGCCCAGCTTCCGTCCCTAGCATCAAAGACGGATCCCAGAGCTCCATCAGGAGTGAGCCCTGAGCATAGTCACCTGCAACCCAAAATCCCAACGAAAAAAAGAAAAGAAAACACAGAGACTCAGATTACCAGAGAAAAGAATAAAAGTTGGAACATTACTACAGACCCTAAGCAAGGACCAAAAGATAGAACTGTGTCATATATCCCAACAAACTCTAATCTGGTTGTAACAGGTGAATTACCTAAAAATACAAAAGCACTCCAAGTCTTGAAACACAAAAGACTTGAAAAAAAATTTTTTCCATCTGAGTACACCTATAAGGAAACTGAGTAGAAATCAAAAACCTCACAAATAAGGAGCCTAAACCTGTTGGACTGGTTAGAATTCTACTCAGCATTTAAAGAATTAAAAAGAATCATCCCCAATTTCTTCATAAACCCTACGGTGGAAGCCTTCCTGCTTGATCCGGATCAGCAGTACTGTGGTTCTGGAGCTGATCACAGGCACAGGACCAAAGGCCAAGTGCACCTGACATGGAGTTGCAGGAGAGAAAGAGCTCAGTGGGCTGAGCACAGGCAAAGGAAAGCAGTGCTCAGTGCCCGATACACAGAATATGTGGTCCCCAAACAAAAAGAGATGCTGTGGGCAGGAGAAGGAACACAGCAGTTAAGCCGCTAGCCTTGGATGTAGACCACCCAGGTTTGATCCCCATCACCACCTGGAGTAAACCCTGAGCACTGCTGGGTGTGACCTAAAGCCAAAAACCAAAATAAAAAAGATGCAAAAATCCTTAATAAAACACTGAAAAACTGAATCTAGAAGGATTTTAAAGAACTAGACACCGCAGCTGCAACCAAAGTGTATTTTATCCTGGATTTGCATGCAGGCGTGGGTTAAACATGTGAAACACCATCAACAGAATGAATGGTGGCTTCACAAAAAATGAAAAAAGGAAGTTTCATTGATGCAGAAAAAGCATTTTACAGAGTCAAATATCTTCCACAACGAAAACAAACAAAACACCAAAAATAAACACACCCCACTCAGTATACGAGAAATTGAAGAGAACTTCCTCAACATGATGAAGACCTTAGATGAAGAACAACTAAACCTGAAGAAAAAAATGAAAGCTTTTGTGTGTGTGTGTGGGGGGGGGGGGGGGGCACACCTGCTTCCTCCTGGCTCTGTGCCAGGGATCACTCCTGAGAAGGCTTGGGAGACCATACACAGTGCTGGGAACCCGACCAGGGCGAGCCAGCACAAGAACCCTGCCTGCAGTACTGTATCTCCTGCCCTCTTCACCCATTTTTACAAGCCTCCCCACACCAAAAAAAAAAAAAAGATTAAAATGTTAACCTTTATGGCATGTAGCACAGCGGGTAGGGCGTTCGCCTTACACGCGGCCAACATGGCCGACCCGAGTTCGATTCCTCCGCCCCTCTCGGAGAGCCCGGCAAGCTACCGAGAGTATTCGATATGCCAGACACAGTAACAACAAAGTCTCCAGTGGAGACGTTACTGGGCCCGCTCGAGCAAATCGACGATCAACGGGAGGGCCTTTACCTTTTACATTTTGCCACAATTTTGAGGGCTTTTCTCCAAGCTACAGCCACATCTTGAAGTAAACAAATAAAAACGAAGTACTAGGTCAATATGGAATATTACAGGTACCATCAATATGGAATATTACAGGTACCAAAAAGTACTTAAAAAAGTTCAAAAGAACCTCTGGAAAGCAAGATGGCGGCCACTTCGGAGCTTTTTGGAAAGCCAGGTATGAGCCGGTCGTGAGGGGGCGACTGAAACCTCATGGGAAGGGGGGGCGTTCCCAGCGCGTCCTTCACACCCTACCGAGGTCACGAGTTGCCCCCCACGAGCGGCCCTCCAGCACGGCCATGGCTCCTGAGCCACAGAAACCAGTCTCATAATCATCTGACTCTCGGCAAGAATACTTCTAGGCTTAAGAAGTAAAATATCAGAAAACCAAAATCATGCGGCCACTACTGCGGCTGTGCAACATCATTTGATTCTTGTAACCAGCTGTAGAAAACAAACTGTTTCACAACGCCTTTTCAGCAGGTCTGATTTTGGGTTGTAAACTCTAAATAATAGTGGTGCATCTTTTGTCGAAACAATGAATCTAATCAAAGTAGAGAGAGTGTTAACTAGAATTCATCTGCCTCACAGGCATTGGGAGGGTTGGGAGGGGGGTTTCTTGGTGAAAAATAAGTACTGGTGAAGGGAAATGTGTTTGATGATTGCATGACCGAGACTTAAACCTGAAAGCTTTGTACCTTTTCCCACAGTGATTCAATTTAAAAAAAAAAGTTATAGAAATACAAAGGGAAAAAAATATTCAAAAGAAGTGAGAAAAAGGCTAAACAAGAATAAAGACAAAACAAGGGAAAAAAAGAGGTGATAAATCTAATCACATCAATATTTACATTAAACGTATATTACCTAAACAGATCAATGAAAAGAACAAACTGTTCTCTGTTCAACTGGATTTAAAAGGTAAGAAAATATATGCTCTGGGTTAAAGCAGAAAAGAGTCGTTTGTAACAAAACAGAAAAGGCAGTATGAGGGGGGGTCAAAGAAAACTGAGAATAGTAATAGGCTGTTTTGAATCACATAGCCATGATTTACTTGTTATGAACACCACAAAAAAACTCCATGAAGACGACAAAATTTCACTGTTTTCTCTGGCTGTTTCCAGTTTAGAACCTCGATTTGGGGGCCAGGGTGCGGCTCAGTGGCAGAGACCTGCTTTCCAAGCCGAGGCCCTGGGTTCAACCTAGCACTAGCGAAGAAGCATTCTGGGGCGTGGCCAGAGAGACGCAGAGCAGATACGGTGCCAGCCCTCCTGGGCCTGATCTGGGCTCAAACCCAGCACCACATACGGGCCGAGTCCCGGTAGGAGTGACCCTGAGAACAGAGCCACGAGTAAGCCTGGTGACCCAAAAGACCAACAAGGAAAGAATCCTCGGCGAGAGCAGAGAGGGCTGAATGGGCTGAGCGTATGCTGCATGTGGAGGCGGGTTCTACCCACAGCAATACTGGGAAGGGACCCTGGAGCCAGAAGTTGTCCCTGAGAACTGACTTCTTGACCTCTGAGGGCCAGGATGCGGCTCAGCTGTGAAGTGCAGCCCCCACACACGGACCTGAATCCAACACTAAGCACTAGGAAACAAACTGAAAACAAAGCAAAGCAAAGCAAACAAACTCCAGCGAGAGCCAATCACTACACATACTATAGCTAAGTGCTAAGAGATTTCTTCTCCTAAGCCTCATTCACTATTTTTATTATGATGGCAGGCAATCCTGTGTTTTGTGCAGAATGAAATTTTCAATATAACCTATCTGATACCCCTTTTTTTTATTTTATAAAGTTGTTCACAATGTTTACATTTAATATTTGGATACCAACCACCATTACACCTTCCCACCACCATATTTCAAATGTTTTCATCCTGAACCCCAACCCCTGCCCCATAGCAGAACCAATTAGTTTGTTACGAAAACCCCTGAAAATGCTACAAAAAGTTTTCTTAGAGGAAACACTGTGAAGATTGTTGTGTTTCACCCAGGGGCCATTAAGCCCTTCTATAAGAGATCACTAACATGTTGTTAAAGGCTGAGCCTTGTGTGTTTATATGGCACTGTAGCACTGGCCTCCCGTTGTTCATCAATTTGCTCAAGCTGGCACCAGTAACATCTCCACTGTGAGACTTGTTTCTGTTTGGCATACTGAATACATCGCAGGTAGCTTGCCAGACTCTGCCGTGCGGGCAGGATACTCTCAGTAGCTTGCCGGGCTCTCCGAGAGGGACAGAGGAATCAAACCCAGGTCGGCCACATGCAAGGCAAAAGCCCTACCCACAGTGCTATCGCTCCAGCCCAGTGTGTTTACTTACACACACACACACACACACACACACACACACACACACATATACATATATATATGCATGTGTATGTAAATATATATATAAAAATAAACATTTCCCTCTAAGATTGGTTGCCTCCTGCTTTAAACCGCATCAAATGTGGTGCGGTACTCTTGGCGTATGTGAAAGCCCACTTATTAAAGAGATATAATAATATTCAAATCTATTATAAAGTGCTAAAAAAGGAAAACATCATGTCATGAATTTCAAAGATAACCAATGACTGCACAGCAGTTGCCACTTACTGAAAAGATACTGTCATTGCTGTTCGCAGCTTCTGCTGAAATCACCTCAAAATGACCAAGTTCAATGTAGACACAGGCAGAAAACAGATTCCCAACCTTCACAAAGATCCTGCACCAGACCAAGTTCTCACCCACAGCCAGCGAACCATGGTGGATCTCCATGGTGTTTCTCCAGCACTAGGCCAACATGACCTATCGGAGTTTAAGCGTGCCAGGAGACATCCAAGCCAGAGCCAGCACCACCAAAAACATAAGCTCCAAACTACAACTCAATTTTAAAATAAGCCTGGCAAACCAGGGAACAGGGAACACTGGTGGGTGGAAGTTGATATTGCTGGTGAAAATGGTGCTGGAATATTCTGTGTCTAAAACTCAACTGTCAGTAAGTTTGTAAGTCACTTTTTAAAAGTAACTTTTTTTTTTTTTTTGAAATTTGTAGGGGCTGGAGAGATAGCATAGCAGGGAGGGGGCTGCCCTTGCAAGGGGCTTGCCTTGACTACGGTTCAATCCCCAGTATCCCATGATTCCTGAGTGCAGAGCCTGCAGAGCCAGGAGTAACCACTGAGCATTGCCAGGTGTGGCCCCCTTTTTCAACCAAATAAAAATTTTTTTAAAGAAATGCTGGAGCCATAGCACAGCGGTAGGGCATTTACCTTACAAGCAGCCAACATGGCCGACCCGAGTTCGATTCCTCCGCCCCTCTCGGGGAGCCCGGCAAGCTACCAAGACGATCTCGCCCGCACGGCAGAGCCTGGCAAGCTCCCCGTGACATATTCGATATGCCAAACACAGTAACAACAAGTCTCACGATGGAGACGTTACTGGGCCCGCTCGAAAAAAATCGATGAACAACGGGAGGACTGTGACTGTGTGACCAAAGAAATGCAAAAAAAAAAGAAAAAGAAAAGAAAAAGCTCCAAACCCCACACACCAGAATCTAAATGTAGAGAACTCTTACCACCGGGTCAGAGAGGAAGAGAGGACTTCTCTACCGTGGCTTGCAAAGATCACCTTGAAGACTAAGCAGAGGGGCTGGAGCAATAGCACAGCGGGTAGGGCGTTTGCCTTGCATGCAGCCGACCCGGGTTCGATTCCCAGCATCCCATATAGTCTCCTGAGCGCAGTGCTAGGAGGAACCCCTGTGCATTGCCGGGTGTGATCCGAAAAGCAAAAATTTATATGGAACAATAAGCCCCCACGAATAGCTAAAGCAATTCTTGGGAAAAAGAAAATGGGAGGAATCAACCTACCTAACTTCAAGCTCTACTACAAAGCAGTAATAATCAAAACAGCATGGTACTGGAACAAAGGCAGAGTTGCAGACCAATGGAATAGAGTTGAATATACTGACATCTCCTCCCAAACATATAATCATCTAATCTTCGATAAGGGGGCAAGAAAAGTGAAATGGAGCAGGGAAAGCCTCTTTAATAAATTGTGCTGGCAAAACTGGACGGCTACATGCAAAAAAGTGGGCTCAGATCTCTGCCTAACGCCATGCACAAAAGTAAGATCGAAATGGATTTATGACCTCAACATCAGACCGGAATCCATAATGTTTATTGAAGACAAAGTTGGCAAAACTCTCCACGATATTGAAGTTAGTGGTATCTTCAAAGACGTCACGCCACTGGCCGAGCAAGTGAAAACAGAGATAGACAAATGGGACTATCTTAAACTAAGAAGCTTCTGCACCTCAAAAGAAACAGTGACCAAAATACAAAGACAGCCTACAGAATGGGAAAGAATATTCACCAAATACACATCCGACAAGGGGTTGATTTCAAGGATATACAAGGTACTGGTTAAACTACACAAGAAGAAATCACCCAACCCCATCAAAAAATGGGGCGAGGAAATGAACAGAAACTTTCGCAAAGAAGAAATCCGAATGGCAAAAAGGCACATGAGAAAATGCTCTACATCACTAATCATCAGAGAGATGCAGATCAAAACAACAATGAGATATCATTTCACACCACAGAGACTGGCCCACATCCACAAGAACAAAAGCAACAGGTGCTGGCGCGGATGTGGCGAGAAAGGGACCCTCCTTCACTGCTGGTGGGAATGCAGGCTGGTCCAACCCTTTTGGAAAACAGTATGGACGATTCTCAAAAAATTAGAATTCGATCTCCCATTTGACCCAGCTATAGCACTCCTGGGAATATATCCCAGAGAGGCAAAAAGGTATAGTCGAAGTGACATCTGCACTTGTTTGTTCATTGCAGCACTCTACAATAGCCAGAATCTGGAAAAAACCTGAGTGCCCGAGAACAGATGACTGGTTAAAGAAGCTTTGGTACATTTACACAATGGAGTACTATGTAGCTGTTAGAAAAGATGAAGTTATGAAATTTACATACAAGTCGTACTACATGGAAAGTATCATGTTAAGCGAAATGAGTCAGAAAGAGCGGGATAGACACAGAAAGATTCCATTCATCTGGGGAACATAAAGCAACAAAACGGGAGACTAACACCCAGGAAGGGCTCAGATTAGTACCAGGAATTTTGCTCCATGACTTGAAGGCCAGCCACATGTGCTAGGTGAGAAGGAAGCTCAGATCGAGAAGAGAGCACCAAATAAAGGGTGTTGTGAAGACCCTCCCAGGGTGGGAGAGACATGCTAAAAGTGGTCTATAGACCAAACATGATTGCCACTCAATGCCTCTCTGGCAAAACACAGTACCCAAAAGAAGAGAGAGAGAACAGGGAGGAATGCCCTGCCACAGCGGCAGGGTGGGACGGGGGGCGGGGGGAGGGATTCTAGGACCCGTGGTGGGGGAGGATGGGCACTGGTGGAGAGATGGGTACTTGATCATTGTATAACTGAAACCCAAGCACAAAAATTTATAAGTCTATAAGTGTACTTCATGGTGTTTCACTAATAAAAAAAATGAAAAAAAAAAAAAAGACCAAGCAGAAAGGAATGCAAAGACCACCCCCACAGTGTCTCGGGCATAGGAAAGCCGTGGTCTAAGGCCCCTGCTGGGCCAGGGAGATGACTCAGCAGGCCAGAGCAGCACTCGACCGGACCCCGGGCACAGGAAGCGATCAATGCTAAACATTACTGTAACACCAAAAGAGAATCTAACAGCAGCCAAGCAGCTACAGCACTCTTCACTCTATGCTCACTGTCCTCCAGCCCCGAGTCAGTGCCTCTTCCCACTGCTGCCTATTTCGATCTCTGTTTAAGGTTCCATTCAGGGCCATGTTATCAAATCGAATTCATCTCAACTGGATGCAAGATCTCTCTTCTTTCGTCCACACTGAACCTTTGTTTAACATCCCTTACGCACAAAGATAGATGCAACAGAACATGGTGTTCTTATTTTCTTCTGTTACAAGTCCTTCAAGGTTATTAGTAAGTCTTATTCATCTTCACATTCACTAAAGAACCGCAAGGAAAGTGAGTTGTAAGCACACATTTATTAAACTTTGAAAGCAACGTTCTTCCATTTATATCACAAAGGATTTGACCTGTGTGACATAAAATTTCATACTGAAGTCACAGTGTCCTATCACTCTGAAGTAGGACCAAAGTTGGTGAGATCTTGGTTCAATCTATCGGCCGACAGAAAATAAACTGCGTTTCAATTTTTTATATTCCGCTGGAAAATGAGAATGTGTCTACTTCTTAGTGCTCGGCAAGTACTTACCTGAGACCATGGTCTGTGATCTGGTAACATCCAGAGAGGCTGAGAAAAAGAAGCACGCGTCCAGTCTCTTGCTCCGACTGTGCACTCCCAGAGCCCCCAGAGTGAATGAAGTCTTTCTCCTGAGGCGGTCGAGTCCTTGGCACTTTCCTGCGTAGAGCAGAGGACTCTGGGAGTGAGGCCACAGCTCTCAGCGCTGTCCCTGTGCAACAGCAGGAGTGACCACAGTAGGCAAACGCCGGGGCGGCGCACTGCTGCTGCCAGCAGACACTAGTCCTTAGTCCAGCAATGTCCCTGCTGTCACAACAGGAGGAGGAACAGCTGAGGCTGGGTGCCGTTTCCAGCACACACAGACTCTCCACATTCCTGTGTCTCCACTCCACAGCATCCTCAATGTCAGCCAAATCTTCAGCATCCAGCATCCACACGTAAGGAGAAGTGAAGTTTTCCGAAGCAGCAGGCTTAGTCCAGGGGTGTTCGTTGTCGATTTCTCCTCCAAAGCCCTTGTCAGTCAAATCGGGCAAACAAGCGTAAGGTTTGGTGGACTGCAGAGGAATGTCTTGATCTTTCCACGGGTCCGAGGTAACTTCGCTTGCGGCCATTTCCAAAAGGCCATTCTGACGATTTGTGAGAATTCCAAGTGCTCTGGAAATCTTCTCAAGAGCCACATCTGTGATTTTTTCACATCCAGAGAGATCAAGATGCCGAAGAGTTTGGCAGCAACCAAGCCAGGACCAACTTTAAGCAAAAAATAACAAGATCAGTCAAAAACCCAACTATGCATAACTTGGTAACTCATGCTGCTTTAATAAAATAAAATTTGGAAAAAAGATAACAAGAGGATTGATGAATAATGAGAACTGCTCACTATATTCAAGCCTTTATTTATATGTCATTGGAAATGGAAGGTTTTAACCTGAAAATAATCTATACTCACTGAACATTTTCAGACACTGTTTTAGTCACCAAAGATACAAAAGAGATAGGAGTACTGCAATCTGACACAAGAGTAGATTATACCCTACCGTCTTAAATTACAGGTTGCGTCCCCATGAGATCATATAAGTTTTTGGAAAAATTGTTTAATAAATTATCAATTATTGGTAAGTGTACTTATCCAGAGTCACATAAAAATTTCTCAGGTGAGACTCAGTCATGAGGGGCTGGAGAGACAGGACAGCAAGTAGGTGCTTGCCTCGCATGCAGCCAACATGGGTTCAATTCCCGGTACCCCATATGGTCCCAGAGTCCCACCAGGAGTGATCACTGAGCACAGAGCCAAGAGTGAGCCCCGAGTACCACAGGTGTGGCCCGGTAACAACAACAACAAAATGCCACTCTGGGGCCAGAGCAATAGCACAGCAGACAGGGCATCTACCTTGCACCTGTCTGACCCAGAAGGTCTCCTAAGCACCACCAGGCACAATCGCTCAGTGCAAAGGCAGGAACCAGCCCCGAGCACTGCGGGATGTCCTGCGGCACTGTGCCCCCTCCTTGGCCCCCGTCTCCACAAAAATCAGTCACGAATGGAAAAACAAGCCCAGAGTGGGAAGAAAATGAGGAAGACGTAAGATGACTATCCTGAAAAGTGGCAGTAAATAACAGGCTGTGAGAGCACTATTAAGTTATGGACACAGTGGCAAAAATTTGATAGCCAGAAAAAAACTGTACAGTTAAGCTACCATTATGCAAATGATTAACTACAGTATAATTCTTATTCATACCTAGAAACCATTATATTTAAATACTGAAAAATAACTAACCTGTCAAATGCAGAATCTGAAATGTCAGTCTGGGTAAGATCCAGATGTTCCAAATTAGGACATAGCTCTAATATCTGTCTAACCTAAAGGGGAAAAAGTCACTATGAAGATCTACAAATTTACTTAAACAAGAGACAAGTAACTTTTACAAACTAGTACGGTCTGGTGGTTATCACAGTTTTGTGCATGTGAAAGTCATCTGATTCAGCATAATAAATAAATATTCCTGGCTCATACCCCAGAGAATCTATTGCAATAATCTGAGATTAGACCCAGAAAATGTACCTTTTTGAGAAAAAAATCCAGGGAGACTATGATATAACACATCACAACATACGCTTACAAAACCATGATTTACTCACACTTGCCCACGTTACCACCTTACATACACACCAGAATAAATCACCTAAAACGAGGGTTTGCACATCACACATGAGAAACTGAATAAATTCTTTAACTTCCCCTAGCTTCAGCTACCATATCTGCAACAGGCAGACAGCAGGAGGTAATATGATCTATGCTACAAAGATCACGGTACATGGGAACAAATCCTAACGTGAAAACAGTGTCCATACTTACACCCACCCATGAGAAGTCCCTCCCAGGGGCACTCAGGAATCCGCAAACGAAATTTACATCATAGCTACTTTTCCCAGTAATGCCCAAACCAATGCTAACTTACACATACCATTTTGCTGGAAACTGCAGAGCTGTAGGCTAATACTAAAGTTTTCACAGAAGTACCAACATATGGTAGAACGTTATGAATTAAGCCATGGAGTAAACGTTTTTCCATTTGTGCAATGTTGATAGCAATTGATTCCTCTGCAGACTCTTCTGTAAAACGAATAATAAGGGCTAATAACTTGATACACTATTAGGCTACTCAAGCATCACCAAATCATTAAATGTGAAATACATTTTTTGCTACTCTTAAACCCTCAGAATGCAAAACAGACAGGTCTTGATCTACCCGTCTGACATCTATTATTTAACAGGTGTGACACCAACTAAAAATGAGATAGAAGGTTGGGGGGAAAAGGGTTTGCAATGAGAATTTTTTCAAATCTGTTTTCATATGCTCCAAAATTGAGCATGATTTTCTTCTCTTTTTCCCCTGGTTTTGGGGCCACACCAGTGATGTTCAGGGCTTAGTCATGGCTCCTAAGGAAGGACTAAGATTTATTTCTGGTGGGCTCAGGAGGTTATCTGGGGTCCCAGGGTGAATCTGGGTTGGTCTCATGTCAGGCAAGCACCTTACGCACTATCCTAGCTCTCCAGCTCCTGAACATGGTTTCCTTATGGTAGGGGACAAAGGGAAAAGAAAAAGGTACTCCATTTTCAGGCACTGAAATAAGTTTGAGAAAAAACTGAAGAGAAATTACAAAGAAAGATTCAGTCATTTCCCTTTCAACATGAAGGGAAAGAAAGAACAGCTTTTTGGTCACTGTTTGATGCCAGTGTCAGATAATGCTGTTTAATAAATCCTTTAAAACACTTTAAAGTCAGGGGTCAGAGAGACAGAACAGTGGGCAGGGTGCTTGCCTGGCACAGGTTGCCCTGTACCCTCCCCAGTCACCCAAGGACCCCAGGATTGATCCCTGAGCTCAGAACCAGGAATGATCCCTGAGCACTGCTGGGTGTGGCCCCAAAATCAAAACAAAACAAACAAACAAAGCTCCTAAAAGCACGTGGTAGAAGGCTGAAGAGATAGAGCAGGAATTAAAGCCCTTGCACTACATGCAGCCCTGAGCACCACCAGGAACAACTGCCAGATTAGGCCCAAATCCGCCCTCTAGTCCACACAAAAACACAGGCTGTAGGGGGCCAAGGAGACAGGACTTGCCTAGCAGAGCTGGGAGGGGCCCCAACTACCCTGGGTGGGTTAACCCCTTCGCCCCTACGGATAAACTGCAAATTATAAAGCACTGTGGTATGAAGTACGTCAATAGGAGAAAGAAAAACTTGTTTCACGAGACGTATTTAAGGGCTGGAGAGGTAATGCAGCGGGTAGGGCATTTGTCTTGCACACAGCTGACCCAGTTCGATCCCCAGCATCCCACAGGGACCCCTGAGTACTGCCAGGATTCATTCCTGAGTCCAGGAGCCAGGCGTAACCCCTGAGAAATGCTGGTTGTGACCCAAACAGTTAAAAAAGAAAAGGAAAAAAACTTACATGAAAAACATGAGAAACACTGTAAGCACTTAAAAATTACTTCACACATCCAGACCCTAATTATTAAAATTCTAAAATTCCTAGAGCACACGGCTGCTATTGTGACTGCGCAAGATTATATTTTATTCAGAACAAGCAATACGAAACAAATTGTCTAGCCTTTTCGGCAGGTTTGAGTGGTGGTGGGACTGGTGTCAAAATATTGAATATAACCCAAGTAGAGAGAGAGTATTGTGCAAATTGTGCAAATGTCACACAGAGACACACAGGGAATATTGTGCAAATTGTCACACAGGAAGAGGAAGGGGTGGAATGAGGTGGTGGGGGGAATACTGGAGAGTTTGGTGGTGGAAAATGTGCACGGGATGGGTGTTTGATGATTGTATGATCAAACCTCAAACAAGAGAGCTTTATAGCTGCATCTCACGGAGAATCAATAAAAGGGGAAAAAATTACTTCACACAAAATAAATTTTAAACTGCTTATTACTCCTTCAAATTTTACAAAGTAGTAATCTTAAAAATGCCACTTTCTTGGGGAAGAGGGAAAAGAAAAACACCAGTTTCTTTTTTTCCCATTTTCAGTTTTTTTTAAAATTTTCTAGTCTCATGATGGAGACATTACTGGGCCTGCTCGAGCAAATCGATGAACAACGGGAGGACCGTGATGATGCTTTAAAATTTTCAGTCCAAGATGAAACCTTACCATGCATTTAAGACGCATGCTTTTCCTTAAATTACATTCCCAGCCCCCCAAACATGTTATGTTTCTTAAAAACAAACATGACACAGAAATCTTAATACCAAATCATTGCATATTTAATGACTCAACACAGTATTACTAATGCACCATATAAGGTAAAGGTAAGGTAAAGGCCCTCCCGTTGTTCGTCGATTTGCTCGAGCGGGCCCAGTAACGTCTCCATTGGAGACTTTGTTGTTACTGTGTCTGGCACATCGAATACGTCACGGGGAGCTTGCCAGGCTCTGCCGTGCGGGCGAGATACTCTCGGTAGCTTGCCGGGCTCTCCGAGAGGGGCAGAGGAATCGAACTCGGGTCGGCCATGTTGGCTGCGTGCAAGGCAAACGCCCTACCGCTGTGCTATCGCTCCAGCCCACCATGTAGTAAAGTTTTAATTTCAAACAGCTTACCAGATTCATCGATATCAGCATCTTCATCCCACTCCTGAAAAGCACGACTTTCATCTTTCCTATTTTTCACCCATTCCTCATCAGGTTCAGTATCGAGCTCAGCTGCAGGACCACTGTACCAGTCACCTAACCAGTGAGCAAGAGAAACGAAAGATCAGATGGCCAAACACGACAAAACCTATTTGAAACAAAAATTCCTGCATATATGTATTTTAGTCATACGTAATGGATGAATTATTATTAGAAATATTTAACTGGTTAAAAAATTACAAACTGCGGGAGGAGAAATGAGCAAAAAAGAAAACTAGAGGTGGCACAGGGATAGTGGTGGAAGGTCTTGGGCATTTTGCTAGTATTAGAGTACAGTAACTTTGTAAATTTTATGCCACCAATTTTTTTAACAGTTGTAACTGCATTATCTAACTACAATTTTTAAAGTCATTTTTTAAAAGTCATTTTAAAAAATTACAAAATGAGCAAAGAAATCCACCTGATCTACTACAAAGAAGTACGGAAAATAATAAAGTCCTACGTGTCATTTTAGGTCACTAAAAACAGCCTCACCTTTTTCACTACAATGGCTTCACACTCCTGACAGCAGCCAATAAATAAAAGGAAGCAAGCCTGTCTGCTCGGTAATAAAATGAGGACAGCAATGCAGAAGCAGGTAGGAACAGAAGTCAAAGAGGGAGGCTAAGATAAAGCAAAACCATAAATGAGAGAATCTGAAAACCAGACTGAAATTAAATTATGTAACTGATGTAACAGAGAGTGCAGAATTCATTTACTGAGCTCTGAACATTATATGCAAGTCAGGGTTTCTGAACTTCGGCACTGCTGGTCTTCTGAACTATGCAATTTGGTATTCAGTGTGTTTGGAGGAAAGGAGACTTGTGTGCATTACAGAGTGTTCAGCAGAAACGCTGGCACCCACTCGCAGAAAAATGCAGATAGAACTGCCCACCACCCTCTCTGGGATGGGAAAAAAACAAAGATATCTCCACGAACATTTCAAAATGTCCTCTGGAGGATGGTAAAACAATTCTAAGTAGAATCCCTGGAAACAAATAAGATACCTAAACAAATACCATACCTAAATAAACAAAAACCATTTTTATGGGCAATTTTAAATTTGAACATGAGAAACAGGGAAAAAACGTTTGAGACCTAGTTAACTTCACAACAGTGTAATACCACGTTATCACATCTGATCTTGTATCAAATAGCACCTAAGTGGATAATGATTCTCAACAGAATAGTAGATTAAATATAGCTAAACAAGGGTGGCCAGAGAGACAGTGTAACAAGCTGAGAACATAAGGGATCTAGGGATTGAACCGGGCAGTTGCATATAAGGCAAGAGCCCTCCCTGCGGTACGTACTATCGCTCTGTTCCGTAAAAAAACCCAACTTTTAACTGTCAAAGACAGAGCTCAGTGGTAAACAGCATGCTTTTCCTAAGGCCCTAAATTCAATCCCCAACAGCAGTCAACAAAAAATTAAATTTGAAATTTTAATGACATAGTTTAACCTTCATGTTAAATGACAGAAACCTAGAAGAAAATGTTCATTTTGAGGTTAACACAAGAAACAATCACTATATCACTGTCATTCCATTGTGCATGGATTCACTTGAGTGGGCTCCAGTAACATCTCTATTTGTCCCAGCCCTGAGATTTTAACAGCCTCCCCTTACTTGTCTTTCCCAACGATTGGAGGCTCTTTCAGGGTCAGGGGAACGAGACCTGTGATAGTTACTGGTTTTGGCATATCGAATATGCCACGGGGAGCTTGCCATCACAAGAAACAACACAGCGAAAAAAAGTACAGACAGCATATTAATTATCCGTGACTACAATGAATACTCACAGAAAATATTTCATATAAAAAAGTTAACATACAAAAGTTAACTTGCCACAGTGCAATTAATGAATATAAAATTGAGGCTTAGAGAACGAAATATTACCAATCACATACACCCCCAAAAAAAAAACTATGCTGGAGAAAAAAAATTATCTGAGCCACAACCAAAGAGTCAGAATGCTGTCTCACCTTTATAACTAATTCTATATTCTTAAATATCAGATAATCTAATTTAAAGTTGTTCTCACAACCTGATAATTTTAACATTTAGTAGGGGTTAAAAAAAAAAACACACATCATGAAAAGTTATAAAGAGCATAATCAAGTAGTCTAATACCTGTAATTCTTTTCACCTGTCTTCAACAATCATCACATTTCATCGATTATTTTGCATTCCCTATTTTTCCCTAATCATTTTAAAGAAAAATACACACATCACAGAAATCACCCATAAATACTTCAGCCACTGCTACATTTTAAAGATACAAAGAACCTAACATACAACTATGAAATCTACCTTTTTGTCAACTCCCAGTCTCCCTTCCTGTGAGTATTCATCTTTAAAAACAAAAAATGTATTTGAAAAGTTAACTGAAAGCGCCATTACCTACCTCTGGCCCAAAGAACAGGGTAGAGATGTTTCCAGAGTGATCCAGTTTTTGCCAGTTGAGACCATTTAGTGCTTACTTGACTGCATCGACATAATTCTTGAGGATTAAGATAACTGAAAATTGACAGCATTACCTCAGGAGGAAGATGGGTTATACCGGTGGATTGTTCCGTCACTTCTGCCTCTGAAACCAACAAGAGAAAACTTTAGCATTACGGGTTTGAGCGCAAGAGCAGTAAGGTGTTTCAATCCCATTTCCTATAAAGAATATACAGTGCCTATGGTCCACTCCTTCCTGCTTGCAAGATGTGAGAAGGAAATAACATGGATCAGAGGTAGCATGGGGCTGTCAGGCTTGTTAAGAACCCGTAGGGTTAAACTATCAGGGTCCAAATCATACTTCATCAGTGGGAGCTACAGTAATGAACACAGAATGACTTCCTCTTACAAAGGCGTCACAGAAAAAACAATACTCACTTTGTAGCATAAGAAGCATCACTTAAAAAGGAATCCAACAGGTTATACAGCTTTAAGCCAACGAGTCGGCCAGATTATGAGATCTCCAGGACACTTTTAATAACACACTCAAATCTCAGAACTTCTTCCATTCATGCACTGACTGCAGTCAGTATCTTCCCGTGTTCCTTTTGCAATTTTCTCACTTCAGACTGAATATGTAACCTCTATCGTCTTTAACCTATGTGTGCCTTACTTATATATTTACAAACTGATTGAAATAATATAATGAAAATGTTCCTCACACTTGTATACATTTACCAAGAATCTTGTGTTAGTCACCATTATAGAAGTAGTCATTGGGCATCCAATTTCCTATAGATATTATTTCAGTAGCCCCCAAAAAATAAATAAAACGGATAAATCATTCAAGTACTATGAAGAATCTGATTACCTTTTATGTGTGATTTGTCGTCACAAAGCAATTTAAATAGAAATGCCATGATCATTAGCATTAATGATCTTAACTTAATCCTTTTCAAATGGCAAATATTTTAAACATAATAGAGGTATGGGTTGCTCTGAAAGAGTGGGAAGATTAAATGGAGTTAGGCCAAGAGATGCTTTTAAATCCTATGTTATAATTACAATTAAACCAGACACAACAGGTCTTGGCTTGGTGTCTAAGCTGCAAGCTGCCTTTCTAAGTAAAGCAACACAAGCTTTATGGGCTTAATTATAGCTTAACCTATACAAACATTTTTGTTTCAACATGCATCCCACCTACTCTGTAAAATAAAAAAGGACCAATGTCAAATGCTTTTAAGCCATTTTAGCAGAACGTTATTATTATCCATCTGAAAGAACCCAGGGAGGGAAAGAGATAGAGCTCAAAGGGCTGAGCACGTGATTTCTGCAGGCAGCAAACGCCCAGGTCGACTGCCAGTACCACACAGGCCCTGAGCACCACCACAAGTATGACTCTTGAGCACAACGCAGGGAGCAGCCGCTGACCACCATCACCTCCCCCTCCACTGGGGAAAGAAAGGAACCAAGGGATCTTCACTATTTTAAAGATGACGATTTTTAATGATGCTTAAAAGGCAAAGCTATTAAATAATGAAAATGAGACGGTATGCTATGAAAGAAAAAGCAGACCTATTTTATTTGAAGTTTCATGAAAATACCTACACAGAGGAAAACTCCATGTGTTTTGGGTGGAAGCTAAGGGAATGAAACAGGAAAGTGAGATCAAACTGTTAAGTACAACTGATCTTAAAAATGGGGAAAAAACAAGGATAAAAGCAGTCACTGAAGTCAATGAAACTCAAAAAACTGGATACTACGTAAGCGCTCTATGCATTGTAGTTTTCAGTAATTTTGATTGCCAAGAGCAACAATGATAATGCCATGTATTTATAAATTACTTTATTAAATACCATACGACATGGTCCAAGCAGGAGACTTGGCCCAAGTTATCAAGGATGTTACGTCCATTTAATATATATTTGAAGATAAACATTTTAAATACTTCATCAAACATCTAAAGTCCCTATTAGTAAGAAGCTAGAGAGTCTTAGAATCAATGATCTGCAACATAAACACATGAATCTCTTGGGGCCAGAGATCTAGTCTGGAGCGCCTTGCACACAGCTGACCCAGGTTCAATTTCCAGCACCCCATCTGGCTCCCTGTGCCCCTCAGGGAGTGAGCCCTGAGCACGGAGCCAGCAGCACACCAGGATGACTCCCAAAACACAAAGATGAAAGAATCTCACCTTTATCTGACTTCTCATCCACAGAGTATTTAAAAAATTTCTGCCGCTCCTCAGCTTGGTTCCACAGGCTGAGGCCTCGAAGGAGTTCCGCCGTGTCCTTCTGGGAGCAGTGCTGTGCAATCACTTTCTTTTTAATATCCTTCAGCTCTTCATAGGTGAAATATTCCATTAACATGGGCTGAAAAACCTAAATCAAATGACATTCCCCAAAGTGCTTAGGTTTGTTCTCCTTAACAAATTTTCAACATCAACAGGTACAAGTGTCATAACAACGCATTTCAAAAAGATAAAAATTTTAGTTTTAGCCACAGAGATGGTTACATGGGTTAAGGTGCTTCCTGGTCTAGGTCCGTGGCACTACATATGGTCACTGTGAGGAGTGACCCCTGAGTACAAAGCCCTGAGGACTGCAACTTCCCCACCCCAATTTTTTTAAGTTTTTATCAGCAAGTTAGTTAACAACAACAACAACAACAAAAAAAAATCACTGAAAACAGCCTTTTCTTTTGGGCTTCTACAACTAATAAATCAATATCTAAACAATTTTGAAGTTTCAGTACCAAATCTTCCTGTAAAAGCTGGCCAAACACTATCAATCTCTCATGTTTAGACGTTTATGTCAGTTAACTGCCTTCTCACTCTAGTATCTGAGCTCACCCAAACGGAGCCTCTAAAGAAACATACAAATGATGCCAGTGCTCTCATTTCAAATTTCAAATTGAGGTTTGAAAGAGTCGCAATTATCCAGGCGATTTCTTTGAAAAACATGCGGAGACCCAACCTCCAATGTACAGAATTAGAATCTTCAAAGGTGGAGCCAAGGCTTCTTTGTTACTGTTCCACGGGAAATTTGGAGGAGTACTAAGATTAAGAAACACTGCTCGAATAATGCTGGTTTCAACTCCAGCTGCATATTATAATGTGAAGCCTTGAAATTTACCCTGTCAGTAGCATCTCCCACTGGATTTTAAAATGCCTGCAAAGTACGGTTTCCAAAGCATATTGCTGCTGGAACTGGGGTGGAGCAGACAGGTTCAGACATAGGCTTTGCATGTGGCTAAGCCCGTTGGATCTCCCGCACCGAGAGCTCCAAGTACTGGTGTGGCCCTGGAGCGCCAAGGTACAAGCAAGCCTCCGCACAGCATTTAGAAGGTCCAGGAAAATAAGGGAAAAAACCAAACTGGCCTTCAGGGCCAAGGAGACTGCTCAAGAGGCTATGCTCTGAATGCCAGAGGCCAGTTTGATCCCGATTACACAGCCCCCCATTCCGAGCCAGGAATAGCCCCACCACTGCCAAGTGTTACCACACACCTCCCCACCACCACCCTCCACAAAAAAGCATATTGTTCTGGCTTTAAACGCCACTCTGATCACAAAAGCTACCGTTACTGAAAATGTGACTAATTTTTAGCTGAAGAAGTTTCCAGTTCCTCATAAACTGCTTTCTCTATTCCTTACCTGAAAAACAGAATAGGAAAATGTTTATGCTAACTCATTCAGTAATATCCTAATACATGTACACTCGGCATAAAGCTGATGAGTTTAAAACTATCAATTGTCTCTACTAAAAGCAGATGAGGTTTTTTCCAAGCTGCTTGACCTTGGCCTGAATGAGCAGGCGAGAAGTGCCGCTCAGGGGCGGCGTATGTGAACCACAGGACTGAAAGCCTGGAGTCAATCCCTGGCACCACAAAACTTAGTATAAAAATACAGAAAACATTAAAAATTTGTTTTGTTTTTTTTTTTTAAATCCTCTAGACCTGACTGACATAAAGTTACTAAGACTTAACACAGTGCCATCGACATCAGAAAACATCAGGAGGGCCGGAGCAGGTAGGGCCTTGCCTTGCACATGGCCAACCTGAGTTCAATCCCTGGGATCCCATATAGTCCCTGAGCAGCACCAGAAGTAAATCCTGAATGGTGACCCCGCCCCCCCAAAAAAACACCACACTAATAGCTGAAGAGATAGTACAGCAGGTAGGGTGCTTGCCTTGTACACATCCTACCCAAGGTTCTATCCCAGGCATCCCCTGTGGTCCCCAAGCCCCACCGCAATGCCACTGCCTGCAGAGACAGGAGTAAGCAAGCCTTGAGCACCACCAATGGGGCCTAACCCCTTCGTTCCTCCTCCCCCCACCCCAAATTCATTTCCTTATTGAGTAGATGAACTAAAAATGTTTTTAATTCAGCAAAAAGCTCCCATCTCTGAGGGAACACACTGCTTCTTCCCTGCCCCCTTGGATCGGTCTTCATATCCAAAATCTGGAGGCGAAGCTTCCTTTGCGTGATTTTGAGGCAAAAGAACAGTCCAAGGCAAAAGAACAGTCATCAACAGAAACCAAAACCCAGAGGGAAACTGCAGGCTTACCTCCTCTTCCTCTTTCATGTGAGGAAGAAAATCTCTCGTAAACGCCTCCAGTCTCTCTTTTAGCTGTTTTGCATAATTTAACTGCTCATATTCATTCTAGAGAGAAAAAAAAGTATACATTCTGTAAGTTCTGCTACACTAAAATTACATTTTATCTGATCCCAGGAAGTCAATTTAAAATACAACAAAATACCAGGAGAAAAAACTGTCAAATAGAAAAGTGGTCTCTATTCTTTCCCAAGTGAAAAAGACATAAAAGATGCCCTTAAAACATCTCTTAAAGCAACCGGCTGGAAAATTGGAAATAATGGTGGTGGGACTGGTGTTCGAATATGAATGTAATAAATCATCATGAACAACTTTATAAAAATATCTGAAACAAATTTTTTAAAACACAACCCCAAATTCCTTTAGGTTGATATCCTTCGTCTGGATTATCTTCCACCACAAAACAATTCAGTTACATTACCAAGCGAAAGATCGTAAATATTTCTAAAGGCAAGGAGTTCACTGGATCTTCAAATAAAATATCCTCATTCCTGACAATTCTAAAGAGCTAGAGGGCTTCCCCATATGAACCAGGGTCATCCCATCTCCCTGGAACTTGTCTATCACTCTACATCAGCCCTTCGGACTTAGAACTCACCGAGAATTTACAAAATAAAGGGACTTTCGAGAGTCTCCTAGTCCCACACTAAAGTCCTCTCTAATCTTTTCCCTGAGCATAATGAATAGGCATCATTTCTTTAAAAAAAAATCTTTAATATCAACAAATATTCACTCTGTTTAAATGTCCATGTATTTGTTCTCTTTAATTTTTGCTTCAATTTCTCACATAATAATCAAATTTGCTTTCCTAAATCATATTACTCTTCTGCCCTTGAAACCCCATCATAAACGCTTTCTCCTTAAATGCTTACGAAGACTGCGCGAGTAGTTCCAACCCACAGTACCCAAACTCGACCTTTCTACACCCCAAGGCTTCTCTATGTTCCCCGGAAGTCCGGCTTACTTCTCCCTCACTCCTTTTCGTTCTCCCTTCCTCTTCCCTTCATATGCAGAGACCTACGTTCTGTCAATTTTATTTCCTACAAACTCTCAAGTCTGTCCTCTCCCCTCTAGACCTCCAGTCACTTTTGCTCTCAGATCTTAATCATTTCACTGAACAAATATGATGCAAAGAATATAAGGAACTATTCAATAAAGGATAAAACTCCCTCCTTCACCACCCAACACCCTAACCCGACTCAGTTTCCCATCTCCTCACTAAGGAGCTGGGCTGATCTTCTAGAGACTATCTCATCGTTGTTTTCCTTCTGACAGTTTTCTTCCTTGATCTTCTCTTTCCCTTTAACTCATCCCCCTCCCAGCTGTCATGAAAGGTTTCTACAGGAAAAACCTACAAGAACAGGTCCAGGGTGACCTGCACAGTCCCAAGTTCACTTGTTGATTCACCCTCTCCTGAACCAGAAGGCTGACAAACTAGGAGAAGATTTCAAATATCCCATAATAAACTTGAGGAAATCTCTCTATACCATTATCTCAAACTCAAAAACACTTTTAACTGGATATTACGTAATTTTAAAAGCTATCTATTTAGCCCATGACCAATTAAAAGAGGAAAAGAAAATAAACATCACTGACTCTTAAAATTTGTAAAACTAAAATTTTTAATTTGTTCTAAGAACAATTCGCCTTTCATCACCAGGTAACTATTACCGATTTAAGCTTTCATCAAAAATTACCAAAAGTCATGACTTGATGGTGGGCTGGGATGGAGTGGGGAAGGCCCCAAGTTCAGTCTGCTAAAGGCCTCTCCACCTCGGCACCACAGAAAAAGGCCCCACAAATTTCCAAAGAAACATTTGGTAGATGGCATTCACTGTAAAATTTGATATTCAGTAATAAAGAATCACCTGACAAAGATTCTCTTCCTCCCGGGTCAGGCGCCTCTGAGTTCCTTTGGCCCCTGTGCCTTAAAAAACAACCTCTCCCTGGCCCAGAAGTCCCAGTTTTACCAAAAATCCTGCTGAGTCCATTTCAAAACATCCCACTCTTGGCATCTTATCGCTCTCTTTAAATACCCACCCTAGGTATTTCATCATCCGGTCTGTCTGCATCAAAAATCCCCTTGCAGGTCACTAGTTCTAAGGGAGGCAAGGGTCTGATCCCTGGCTTGGCACCCTCCCAAAGACCCCCAGCAGAGTGAGCCCAGCCCCTCACAACCCAGTCAGGAGTTGGGAGTAGCCTAGTTAAGTACCACCCACCAGTCGTGGTGGTACCAAGAACGTTTTAAAATCTCCCAGAGTAGGCCTGGAAGGATCTTTTTTTTTGCTTAGGGGTTACTTAGGGAAGCACAAACATAAAACTTGTGAGATGGGGGTTGGAGTAATAGAATCGCCACGTTAAGGCGTTTGCCTGAGCAAGCAGACAGTCCCGGTTCAACCCCCGGCATCCCATGAATCTTATCAGGAGTGATCCCTGAGCATAGCCGGGTGTGGTCCCAAAACAAACAAACAAAAAAAACAAAAATAGCCAGGTGTGACCCAAAGAAAAAAAATCATTTTTGTTTTTTTTGCACTCAGGAGTTACTCCTGGCGGTGCTCAGGGGACCATATGGGATGCTGAGAATCGAACCCGGGTCGGCCGCATGCAAGGCAAACACCTTACCCACTCTAGCCCCACAAAAACAATTCTTAATTAAAAAAAAAAGAAAATTAAAGTTCCAGCAAAGCAGACTTGAAAAGAACTTATGTGGTTAATTACTATCCTTGCTGAACTTTGCCATTAATGACACTAGACTTACCTAATCAACAAAAGTCTGACTTTGATTATACTTGTTCAAAATGGAGATGATTGTACAGAGAAATTTTATGCTTCAATGAAAAAATATAATCTAACCTAATCAGTCTTTAAGCTATTTTTCATCTCTTTGCAAACTCCATTTTACAAGCTACTGTTACTGACTTGTAAATTGCACTGGACGAATTCTTCCAGTTTCCTTTTCCATCTGGCCCTAACATTCCAAACTAACATTTACACTTTCTGGCCCACTATCTTGACCCAGGTAGGGCGTTCGCCTTACAAGCGGCCAACATGGCCGACCCCAGTTCGATTCCTCCGCCCCTCTCGGAGAGCCCGGCAAGCTACCGAGAGTATTCGATATGCCAGACACAGTAACAACAAAGTCTCCAATGGAGACGTTACTGGGCCCGCTCGAGCAAATCGACGATCAACGGGAGGGCCTTTACCTATATCTTGACCCAAAGTCACGAAAACAAAAACCTGACTTCTCAGATCCTTATTGGGACTGTAAGAAAGTCCTGCAAGACGCCGACATGTACATTTCCAAGTAAGCACTATAGCACTGAAAGGAAATACCAACATCCAAACATTCCCAGTACAACGCAGGATCCTTCTCCAGTGCCTTCACCACCTAAAATGCTTCAAATCCAAGATCCATATGCCTAACTGGCTACCACCACGCTCAGCAGACCCTCACTAAACGTCAAGGCCACCGAATGAGAAACATACTTATGCTGTTCAAAGAGAAGAATCTCCTTTCTTCAAAGAAGTCAGACTGGCATAGTCTTAACCACACCCTTACCTTGAGTTCTGTGATAGCCCACTGAATCGAATTTTAGGAAACTTCAGCTGAGTCAATTTAGCAAAAACCTCTCATCATCGGGATTTGGTTCTCTTCTATCCGAGGCCTTTACACCCTGACCTGCCTTCACTAAAACTTCCTCTAGTCACGAGAGCAAGAATCCCCCCATTCTTGATGTCTCCTCCTCTGTACTCAGAATGAAGCCCGCTCTCTCGCTCCAACAAACCCTATTTTAGAAATCCCTGGAATGAAGACTTCTTTATTATATTCAACAACTGTCTAAATGTTTCTTCTTGAATAAAACATGATTTACTATAAAATGCAAACTAGTTTTATCAGGGTTATAAACAGATGGCGCAGATTGTGATGGTAGGCAATACCCATATTTGCAACTCACCTTAACATTCTTCAGTCCCTTTTCAAAGAGGCTAAGCATCTCGGAGAGCTTGTTGTCAGAATGCACATTATAAATGGTTTGGCTGCGTTGCTGAAGCAAGCCAATGATGTATTCATTTTCAATCTGCTCGTGCATTTTGAACTCCTTAAAAGTAGCATACAGAGACTGCAGAAGAGCACGGAAGTCATTGTTGTTGGAAAAGTTCGTTTTCGAAAGCTAAATAAAAAAATTTGAAAGATACAATAAATATATGTGAATATGCACCACTAAGAAGTATTCAAACATATTCTGATTTAGTTTCATACATAACAAAACTCATTCTTATACTTGGTAGAAGTACAAATACAGGAAATTCATACATTAAGAAGTTACAATGACATGATTAAAAAAAAAAAAAGCACTATGCCAGGAAGTTACTGGTTTGCATTCTCAAACATTTGGTGATTTAAAAAAAAAATGATGCATGTGTGAATAAATTAGTTTCTTAAGTTAGGCCAGATCCAAAAAAAGGTACTTTAGATCAAATCTAAAATACCTTTACTTAAAGGGTATGGTGCCGCCAGCAGGTCAATCTGTACCTGTGAGGCGAGTGCATCAGCAGCCTGATGGCACCGTCAGACTTTCAGATACCCCAAAATTGCTGCTGTGCCTTTGGCCAGACTACAAAAACTTGGGGCAAAGTTTACCAAGAAAGTAAACGGCCAAAAGTTAGGTATGTGGGAGACACACCCACAAACCACCTCCGGCTCAATTATATATAATTGGAGGCATGGCCTCTCTGGTTCCTGATCGAACTGCTTAACGGCCATGATCCCAGAGACTCAGAGGCAAATCTCGGAACCCAAAGGCTTTTGGCAGAAACGCGTCCTGTTCCTGCAGTAAGTGACTAGGGCTGGGCCACTCCAGGTGGGAATAGGTTTCGTGCCTTGGCCTGCTCCCCTTGGCAGCCTGGTGATCGTCATCCTCCAGAGGCCACTGGACAGTCAGGTTTGGGCCTGCAGTAACGAGACACGCAGGGCCTCACCAGATGGGGGTGGAACCAGCCCTTTCCTCCCCATCCCAGTGAGACCTCGAGTTGCCGCCTACAAACGGCCTCTTTGGCTCCTGATCAAGCTGATTAATGGCCATGATCCCAGAGACTCAGAAACAAATCTCGAAACCCAAAGGCTTTTGGCAGAAATGCATCTGGACCATGGCTCCAGAGGCAAAAGGACTTAATCCAGAGCCCGGCAACTTGCAGCAGAAAAGTGAATGGACCATGCATTAAACTACAGCACCATGCCTCCCCGCGAGGGAAAGGGTGTTGCTCCCTTCCGCCTTTCTCCCGTCAGCAGCAAGGTGGCCGCAGCCTCAGAGCTTATTGGAAAGCCAGGTATAAGCTGGCGGTGACAGGGCAACTGCAGTCTCATGGGAAGAGGGGCGGTACCGGCTCATCCTTCACACCCAATGGAGGTCACGAGTTGCCCCCCACGAGCGGCTCTCCAGGCACGGCCATGGCTCCAGAGGCAAAAGAACTTAATCCAGAGCCCGGCAGCTTACAGCAGAAAAGTGAATGGACCAAGCGTTAAACTACAGCGCCATGCCTCCCTGGGAGGGAAAGGGTGTTGCTCCCTTCCGCCTTTCCCCCTCCCCCCCACCTTCCATCCCCCCACCGACATCCCCGCAGCAAGGTGGCCGCCACTGCCTCAGAGCTTATAGGAAAGCCAGGTATGAGCCGGCGGTGACAGGGCAACTGCAGTCTCATGGGAAGGGGGGCAGTACCAGCTCGTCCTTCACGCCCTACCAAGGTCCGAAGTTGCCCCACACGAGCAGCTCTCCAGCACAGCCATAACACCAGATGCACAGAAACCAATCTCATAATTATCTGGCTCTTTGCAGAAATCCAAAATTGTGTGGCCGCAATAGTGGCCGTGCAACATTATATGATTCTCATAACTGGCTATAGAAAACAAAGTATTTCACAATGCCTTTTTAGCAATTCTGATTGTTGGGGGGAAATTCTAAACAATAATGGTGCATCTTTTGTCGAAATAATGAATGTAATCAATGTAAAGAAGAGTTAAGTGGAAATCATCTGCCTCACAGGCATTGGGAGGGATGGGAGGGGGGTATATTGGGGTTCTTGTTGGGGAAAAAGGGAGAGGTGTTTGGTCATTGTAAGATCGAGACTTAAACCTGAAAGCTTAGTTACTTCTCCCACAGTGATTCAATAAATAAATATAAGACGAAAAATAAATAAAACTATGAAAGAAAAAAAAAAGTAAGGTGGAGTTCATGCCCAATTCAATCAGCTAATCAGTGTCTGAATAAATAGCAGTACTACTACATAAAAAAAAACCTTTGCTTTTATATATGCTAAACAGAATACTACAACTGTATGTAAAAACTAATGTAGCTATATAAAGTAGGATAATATGGTTACTTTGTTCAAAATATTCTTTATGCTATATTATTTTTACAATGTAGACATTTAAAAAATACTCCACGGTAGTTGGTTTAAACTTCTTATCAAGAAGAGTCTGTTTTGGGGGCCAGAAACAGAACAGTGGGTGGGGCATTGGCCTTGCAAGTAGCTAATTCATCACCAGCACTCCTTATGGTCCCTTGAGCCAACCAGGGATCACCCCTGAGCACAGAGCCAGGAGTGCACTTAATTTATTTATCAAAATAATAAATTGTAGTCTGTGATCTTTTCAGGAAGCAACTGTAAAACATTAGTTGCTAAAACATTAGGTAAACTTAAGGAGATTAATTTTAGGAAAGAAAACTGAGGGAAAATTCATGGTCTATAATAAAAAAATTAGTATTTTTCTGGGGAAGAGTCACTGCAAGAGTACAATGAAATACATGGTAAACTGAAGCACTAAAAAGTATGCGCACTTGAAGATGCCGAACAATTTAAATTCTGCCATTTGATGAGAAAATGACTATGCTGATTTAACTTACATTTGATAGGAAATCATATTCTCATGTTTAAAGTATACAATCAAGAATTCTGGCTCAAATCATAAGTTCAAATATTCAACACCTCCCCTCATTACCTCTACTGTCCTAGTAAAGCTACCTTTTATTGTATCATTTGACATATCGAATACTCTCGGTAGCTTGCCAGGCTCTCCGAGAGGGGCGGAGGAATCGAACCCGGCTCGGCTGTGCTGGCTGCGTGCAAGGCAAACGCCCTACCACACAGTAACAAGCAGTCTCACAATGGAGACGTTACTGGGCCCGCTCAAGCAAACCGGTGAACAACCGGAGGACAGTATTTATTGTATCAATTCCAGTTGCAAAGTTCGTTTTCAGGGGGAAAATCTGATTAGGTTCAAAAATGACAGGTACGTGGAAGGAGAGAATCTACTGATATCATACTTGCTAAACTTGCTTTAAATTCAGATCTAGTATTCCTAAAATGGACTATAGTCTAAGCTGTGTGAATCACCTGTTTTGAGCAGTGATAGGCACATAACAAAGTACCAGAAAAGATGACTAACTTCTGATGCGAACTATTTCATTATCTGTAACTGAATTCACTAAGCATCTTCTGTAAATGGCTATGTGGAGTAGGTACTGGGAGTCTTGGAGGCTAGAGAGATCATACAGGGTTAACCATTATCACCCCAAGCAGCCTACCCAGGTAAGAAAACCCAGCACCACCTATACACCCCGGTACCAACAGGGGTCACACTTGAGCAAAGAGCCAGGAATAGCCCTGAGCACCTTTGGGTGTGGTCCAAACTCCACTCCAAGAAAGTCTTACAGAAAGCCAGACCTAGAGTCAGATTCTCCAGGCTCAGGTCCTGGTTCTGTTCAGCTATGTAGGCCTGGGGAAACTATTTTCCTTCTTCCATAGCTTAGATTTTCCTTAGTGCTCAATGGGAGTAAACAGCACTGCCTTATTTTATATGGTTGTTCTGAGAGGAAAATGAATGGTGCTACGTAAATGTTGGCAATTGTGATTTTGAAAATTAACCATTTTTAAAAACTCATTTACTTTTACTCCACTCAATTACGTAATGAGCAGCTAATATTGGTGAGACACTGTTCCTAGCAGTTGGGATATACAAGTAAACTAAATAACTCTGCCTTATGGAACTTACATTTCCGTGAAGTAAAAGAAGACACAAAGAATCGTAGTAGACACAACCCACTAAGCAAATTATCTCGAACGAGTGGGCAACTTTTTCTTATAAAAGGCAAAATTGTAAGTACTTTTAAGTTCTGCTGGGCACTCTCTATAACAACTATTTAATTCAGCCGTCACAGCACAAAGGTAGCCGCACAAATGTAGCTAGCTGTATTTCAATAAAGCTTTATTCGTGACACTGAAAAATCAAAGAATTTCTCAGGTCATAAAGTTTTCTTTTGGATTTTCCAACCATTTACAAACATAAGACCCAATCTTAAATGTTCATCTTTTTTTCTTTCCTTTTTTTTTCAGTAATACCAAAGGACCAGACCCAGAGCCTGACCCAAAGCTTGTGTTCCACCACTAGGCCACTTCTCATCCCTGTACCTTAGTTCTTGAGTATGAAAATAACATGCAGGATGGATTTAGTCAAGCCAAAGCTATATATTTTATCCTAAGAAATGCCACACAAGATCACAACAAAATTCACTAGTGGCGAATCTCATCAAATACTATCAAATAGTATTTATTTAGAAAATATTAAGAATGACTCAGAATAAATGTCAAAAAAGGGAACAATAACAGCTATAAATTTTCTCTGAAGAGATGACAAAAATGTAATTAATGCACTTATGAGTTAAGAAAAATATCTTAAAAGACATGTAGAAATTTCACATATGTTCCAGTGAACTCCTTAAAAGATTTAATAACAAACTAAAGGAAAGATGTGATTCCAGTCACAGGCTGAGACCAAAATCAAACACATAATAGGACTCTCTTATGCTGCTTAGTTGGGAACCCAGCTCTGCCAAGCAGTCACTAACCTTTTCTGTACCTCAGTTTCTTCATCAGTAAGATAAGGTCAATATATTAACTATTCCTAGGGGGTTTATGATTATTTAATGAGTTAAAAAAACACAGATCAGATATAAAGCCATAAGAGGTGCTTGTTTTTTTTTTCTTATTTAGCACAAATAAAACTATCTTCTAGAAACCCTTACTCAGCCCAAATCTGTTTCTACTCCACTTGAAAAGAGCCAATGATTTTTACCCTGGTTTCTAAGATCAGTAGATTTAGCAGTTATAATAACCA